CGCAGGCGCGGTGCGGCAGGCCCACGCGGCGGCGCAGGGCCGAGGCTGGGTGCCGTGCCCGAGGTGCGGCGCACGCGGCGGCGCGGCTGCTGCAGCTGGCTGCGAGGCCGTGCCCTTGGCGGCCGACGGCGCTGCCACCGCTTCGGCGGCGCGGATGTTGCAGCTGGGTGCGAGGCCGTGCTCGGGGCGGCCGACGGCGCCGTCATCGCGGGCGCCCACGTTGCTGCTGACGCCAGCAATGCGCTCTGGCGGCGGCGCGCAGGCCTGGCGCGCCGCTGTGCAGGCGCGCCTGCAGATTCGGCTTGGGCCGCCTGACTGATTGGGTGCACGCTCCCACGGTGCCTCGCTCGCATGGTAAGAAGTGTCCTAGATGGCCACAGGTAGCCTAAGTTGGTTCTAAGATGTGGGAACGTTGTCCGATTTGGCTCAAGGTAGCGCATGTCCCCGAAAAGGTCCCCATGACGGCCACAACATCGCTCAAGGTGGCTGCGGAGTCTTCCGCGCAGGTGACGCCAGAAACACAAACCAAATGTGCGTTCAACCGTGCTCGCATTCTCCCCCTTTTCGCCCACGATTCGCCTCCGAGGCCTCGAAATGGCCCGAGGATGGCCCCGAGCGGCCCCAAGAAGGGGCTCTGAGACGGCTCCTCGAGCCCCCTGTCGAGGTCTCACGTCTGCTCCTGCCGGCTTTCCGCCAACGGACCCGCCGCCGCTTTACTTCCGCCGCCCTCCGCCAGCCCTCAGCCCGCTCCTCCGCCGAGGGAGAGGACGAGCCGGCGGCGCGGCCCAGAAGGCCCCGAGCTGTCCCAGAGAGGGTGCTCCCCTAGCGCGCGGGGGCCAAGAGGCCTCCGAGAGCCCCAAGCTGTCCCCGAGGTGGCCGTCACTGCCGGGAGATGCTCGGGGTGGCATCGCCTTCGCCCTAAACCATCCATCACGGGCGGATACCACCGGGAGCGGGGAGGGGTGGGGGGGCACCCGCTCTGGTGGATCCCACCAGGAGCGAGGAGGTAGGGGCGAGGAGGTGGGCGAAAACAGTAAAGAGGTGGAGACAATCGAGAGGGGGGACACACGGAGGGATCCGTGGAGGCGGGGCGAAGTGGCATGGACGAGGACGAGGGCGAAAGCAAGGATGGGGTAGAGGAGGGCGAGGAGGACACAGAGGGATCGGTGGTGAAGGTGGCGAAGGAAATGGCGAAGTAGAATCGAAGTAGCATTGGCGAGGATAATGGCGAACATAAGGACACATGTTCAAGTTGTTGTTGTTGTTGGTGGTGGTGTTGATGTTGTTGTTCATGTTGTTGTTGATATTGTTCGTGCGGATGCTGTTGTTGTTTTAAACGTCATCGTTGTTGTTGTTGAACTTCCACTGCGGAAGAAAAAGTATTGTCGATCCCCCTTCCGGTGCACATTCTATTTTTTTCAAGTGAGGTGTCCCTCCCGGCGCTCGCACACTGTTTTTTATCAAGAGAAGTCTTCATCCTCAAACTGCGCGGTTGGCCCCCGGGTTACAACAACCACGGCTCCCGCCTGGGATTTCCTTACAATTTGGCCAAAAACCCCGCTCCCGTCTGAAAAATCCACGCATTTTATTTCAGGAATCGGGCTCTCGCTTGGGTGTTCCGTACAAATTATTAAGGAATCGTTCACTCGGCGCTTTGGAATCGCGCTCTCGCTGGAGACTCGCTTGCAATTTATTAAAGAAAAACCCCTTGCGTGTGAATTTCCCGCGATTTCTCAAGCGCCGCGCTCCCGACACTCGGGCACTGAGGAAACGCGCTCACGCTTAGGACTCCCTCACCGATTATTTCGGAATCGGGATCTCGCTGCCCTCCGTGGCCCCGTTGCAGCCCTTCGTGGCCCATTCGCTGCCTTTCGTGGACCCGTTGCAGCCCTTCATGGCCCCATCGCTGCCCTTCGTGGCTCCGTTGCAGCCCTCTGTGGCCCCCTCACTGCCCTTCGTGGCCCCGTTGAAGCCCCTCGTGGCCCCCTCGTTGCCCTTAGCGGCCCCGTTGCAGCCCCTCGTGGCGCCTCGCTGCCCTTCGTGGCAGCGTTGCAGCCCTTCGTGGCCCCCTCGCTACCCTTCGTGGCCCCATACATGTATGCCCTTCGTGAACCCCGCTCGTTCGCGCCCGTCGTGGCCCCATATGCCTGCCCTTCGTGGCCCGGCTGTCGCCCTTCGCGGCCCCCTCGCTGCCCTTCGTGGCCCGGCTGCTGCCCTCAAGGGCCCCGTCCTTGCCCTCAGCGGCCCAATATGCATGCCATCCGTGGCCCCCGCTCGTTCGCGCCGGACGTCGCCCCATGTGCATTCCCTTCGTGGCCCCGCTGTCGCCCTTTGTGGCCCCCTCGCTGTCCTACGTGGCCCACTTGCTACCTTCAGTGGCCCCGTCTTTGCCTTCCGTGGTCCCGCATTATCTGCCCTTCGTGGCCCCCAATCGTTCGCGCTTTTCGTGGCCCCATACGCATTCTTTTCGTGTCCCCGCTGTCGCCCTTCGTGGCCTACTTCGTGCCCTTTATGGCCCTGCTGTCGTTCTCTTTCTCGCCCTCGCTTTCGCTCGTCGTCGTCGTCGTCGCCGTCGTCGTCGTCGACGTCGTCGTCGTCGTCGTCCACGTCGTCGTCGTGGTCGGTCCCCTGTCCATCCGTATTGGGGTCGGGTTGCCGCCGATCAGCGCTGCCGCTGGCCAGGCCGACGGTCCGCGGCCGGCCCGCCGCTTGCCGGGGGCCCGTCGTGCAGGGAAGAAAGGTATATCCCCCAAAAGGGGTACGATCGAGGACGAAGAAGGCGAATATCGAAGGTGTGGGAAATACGCCGTAACGGACACTCGAGCACATAAGAGCGAACAGAACTAAAATGATTGTTGTATTTTGAACCGCTCCCAGGGCAAACTCTCTAGGGGCGCCAGAAGGGGCTCGCGCTGTGGGGCCTTACCAGGGTGGCTACCAACGGAATCCAACCGTCCTGTGCGACGGCGCCTGCGCGCGATCGCATTCCGGGACGTCTTCTGCGCCACACCCGCACACGGCTGGCGCGCGTGCGTTTCGCCTGGGAGACGGGCTCCACCCTCCCGGGGGCAGGCTTGGTACACAAAAGCTTGCTCTCCAGAGGGGGTATCGTGTATACCAAGCCCATCCCAGGGAGGGCATGCGCCACCGGTGCCCCCGTCGCGCGACGGCCCATGTCGAGGCCGCGGAGGCCTCGCCAGGCGCGCGGAGCGCTCCAGGGGCGGCGCCGGAGGCGCCGCCAGGGGGGCCCCAGCGCCGATCCGAGAGATCCGCGCGGACCTCCGAGTTTTTATGTTTATGCCACCTTTTGTTCCCCTAGCATCCCTCCTCCCTCAATCCATCCGCCCGCCTCCCTGCCCCACCCTCTCTGCCACCATCCACCTCTTCTCGGGAGCGGCCATGAGGGGGGTGTCCAAGAGGGGGGGGTGCAAATCATGACCGGCGGCATGTGCGCGGCCCAGCGGGGGGGCCAGGGACGTCATGAAATAAGAAGAGGCGCCATGAAATCTGGGGAAATATCATGGCCCGCGCCATGATATTCCCCCCCTAGTCCTCACCCCCCTCTTTGCCGCCCCACCCTCTCTGCCACCGTCCACCTCTTCCTCCATCTCCTTCCTCCTCTCCGGGGTCGTCCACCTTGGGGGCCGTATGGCGGGCGGGGCGCGCACAGGGCCGATGTTCCAGCATCCACGGCCCACGGCGTTCACGGACTGGGCCGTCGTTGGACCATCTTTCCTCCCCTCCCCCTCCACTTGATCTACCACCCTTGCAAGGAGGAGGAGGTGCAGGAGGAGGAGGAGGAGGAGGAGGCGGAGGAGGAGGAGGAGGGGGAGAAGGGGGGGAAGGGGGAGGAGGAGCAGGAGGAGCAGGAGGAGGGAGGAGGAGGAGGAGGAGGAGGAGGAGGAAGAGGAGGAGAGGATGAGGGGAGGAAGAGGAGAGGAGGGGGGGAAGGGGGAGGAGAGGAGGAGAGAGGAGGAGGAGGAGGAGGAGGAAGAGAGGAGGAGGAGAAGGAGGAGGAGGAGGAGGAAGAAGAGGAGGAGGAGGAGAAGGAGGAGGAGGAGGTGGAGAAGGAGGAGAAGGAGGAGGGGGAGGTGGAGGAAGAGGGAGAGGAGGAAGAAGAGGAGGAGCAGGAGGAGGAGGAGGACAAGGAGGACGAGGAGGAGGACGAGGAGGAAGAGGAGGAAGAGGAGGAGGAAGAGGAGGAGGAGGAGGAGGAGGAGGAGGAGGGGCCCCGCCGGGCGGTCTGGCGGCCCCGCCCGCTGCGCGCATTTGACGGCCGGGGCAAACGACGGCCCCTCCGAGGGCCCACGGAAGGCCTGAAGCCAAACACCGTCGGACCTACAGTCAACCCGTATCATAAGGACGCGCGATACGGATGCAAGGGCCTCGTACGCAGCTTTTCGAGCGCGGCGCGGCGAACGAAAATGGTCAAGGATGGGCCGAGGAGGCACGGATGCAGGGGGTCCCTTGGGAAAGCTGCCCATCCTTACCGTGCGGGCCGACTGTGGACCAAAATAGTATCCTCCAAGAACATGGGACCCTCCGCCGGCCAAAACACCTCCCCAGGATGCACGAGACACGAGAGCATCCCACACGCACAAAGAGCACTCGGGCACCTGGTGAGCCAAAAGGCACCGATGCCGCCACTTCCCATGCCTCTCCCGGGGTGCGCTCTGACGGGAACTCCGAGGCGAATCCAGCGGTGGCGGCGAGAGCCTCCCAGGAGGCCCCCCACCCGAGGAGAATCCAGCGGTGGCGGCGAGAGCCCCCCAGGAGGCCCCCGAAAAAGGGAAAACTCTTCCTCCTCCGAGGCTGCCCTCCCCGAGCCGACCTCGAGGCGCGCCACCGGGACACACCGAGGCGCCTGTGGAGGCGCGGGCGCCGCCGCGGCCGTGGTGATCAACATCCCGCTGCGGTGGCGCTCCTCCTCCTCCTCCGCCTCCTCCTCCGCCTCCTCCTCCTCCTCCTCCTCCTCCTCCTCCTCCGCCTGAGGCGGGGACATCCCTCCTTCGGCGGCAGGTTCTTGCGCTTGCGCTTCTTCTTCAGGGGCACGGGCGTCTCCTGCGGGGCTCCAGCTTTCGCAAGGCGAGCGTTGCCGTCTTCGGCGTTTCGACTAAAACAGGGCTAAGATCGGGATAAATCGCTCCAGAGCGTTCCGGAGCGCTCTCAGAGCGTTCCGGAACGGTCTGGAGCGGCCGCCGCGCCCAATACATCCTCCAAACCCGCCGATTCTCAGAGATTTCGAATTATCCCGATCCGATTTTGTCCCGATCTTCGGCTTCGTTTTACCGACATGGGGTGGAGGGGGGGAAGGAGGAGGAGGCGGGGTCTGGTTCCGGACCTCTGCTTCAGGCGACTGTTTGCAGCAGTGCGTCCAGTATGGGGGAGACCCCACCTGCTTGACACAGGCGCCAACAAACAGCCAAGATCCACTCCACGAGGGGGGGGGAGGAGGGGTGCGAGGGCCCGGGCCAAACGGCAAAACAGTTATTAAGAAAACGATCATAATTGGCCGTGGACGGCCACACTGTCTGGCCGATCGTCGGATGGTGCGCGGCCATCCGAAAGCAAGACGCGGAGCCCGTCCAACGAGCAAGCGCGGCGAGCCGAGCACGAGGGTCAACTCAAACATAAGGCGAGCCATCCAGACGATTACTGCGAATCCAGTGCTCCGCCGATTCCAGGGCCCCACCGATCACAAGAACCAACTTGGTGTTTTTGGGGCTCCTGGATGCGCGTGGTGACCCGACCTGGCCACCTCTGCGACGCAATAGCCCAGGCTCCCCCCGACCCCGGATGAACAAGGGACGGGATTGTCTGGCCAAGCCATGTCGAACCTATGCAGATTCGCGCCATTCGGCACGCAGCGGAGTGGTATAATGTCAATGCGTCTGGTCAGGTTTCTGTAAATTGTCTGCCCCCTACTAACTAGCGTCTACTCACATGCATGCCCCCTTTCCGAGGCTCCTTGGGCAACCTGGCACCTCCCTGGCGGTCCGCAAAATCTCCAAGATACCCGGGATGCCTTCCGCAACAGCCCATGAAAGCCACCACGGCTGTAGAAATTACCAAAAATTACCAAACATGATCGACCCACGGACCCAGAACATAATTTTGAAATGCAAGGCATGGCAACGTTTTCAATTCTGAAGGTATCGACCGTGATGAACCGTGCCACGGGTTGTGCTTTGCTGTGCTGTGCTGAAATAAGATGTGCCATGCCGCAATGACGGTGCGCTTTATAGCGTTGCGGAACAAGCCGTCCTGCATCAGATTCCTGACCAAACTGATCTGGATCTTAAGCTTGAGCTTCCTCACCGAATGGCTGGCCCAGAGCTGGTTGCCGTCGAGACGTGCGGGACGCGCAATCAGCTCGAGCTCAAAATCCGACCCAGTTCCGAAGCGGGACGATACGACACGGGTCGCAGGGCGCCCGGGGCGCACTGGGGGATGCGCCACGGGACGCGTCAGGGGACGTGACGTAGACGCATCAGGGACCTGCCACGGAGCGTGCCAAAGTGCGTGCCAGAGGCCGCCGTGCCAGGGGCCGTCCCGAGAGACGCCCAAGGTGCTGTGGCCACGGACGAGCCGGGGGACGTGGCAAGGGACGCGCCACGGGATGGGCAGGAGAAGCGCTAGGGGGCAAACCAGGGAACGCGACAGAGGACGAGCCGGGGGACGCGCCGAGGGGCGTGCCACGGGTCGTGCAAGGGGGCGTCAAGCCAGGAGACGTCGCACGGGACGCGCCAGGTAACGCGCCTGCGCGCCAAGGCACGCGCCACGGAACGGGCAGGGGCCGTGCAAAAGCACAGGACTTGGGAACACGGGCGAAAGGAACCCATGCCAGAACACATAGCCTGCTCTCACGTACCGAAGGGACCCGTGCAAACACATGGTTCGAGCCCACGGGCGAGCGAAACCCATGTCAACACATGTAGTGTTGGCTCACGGGCGAAGAGAGCCCAAGTAACAACACATAGTACAATTTGGGCTTACAGACAGAAACGGTCCCATGCAAAAGCGCGCGCGCGCGCACACACACACACACACACACACCGCAAACACAGCACCAACACACCCAACCACCAACACAAACACACACACAAGCCCATGCAATCCCAGCACAACACACACACCCACACACAAGCGCACAACCAACACAAACACACACACACACGCACACACGCACATTCGTTAGCGATCGCGGCTCAGTGAGAACCCAACCAGGCGGTCTCGTCGCTCTGACCAGAGCGAGCCGAGTTCGAGGACCGACAGGTCACTCTCGGAGTCACGACAGGCTGAGCAGGTCGCAAAAAGACAACGCACGCAACCGAATCGCACACACAATCCCGCTCTTCTGGCGGCAGCGGCCTCGCGCGCGGCGACGAGGCCGAGTCAGCAAAGATACTGAGCGTGGGACCACGGCCAGGCCATCAGCAATCGCCTTGGATCCCACAGCACCTACCCGCCATACAGCACATCCGCACCATCGCACACGTAAGCTGCTCCTTCGGGGCGGGGGAGGAGGAGGAGGGGAGGAACAGGAGGAGGAGGAGGAGGAGGAGGAGGAGGAGGAGGAGGAAAAAGAACAGCAGGAGAGGGAGGAGGAGGATGACGAGGAGGAGGAGGAGGAGGAGGAGGAGGAGGAGGAGGAGGAGGAGGAGGGGGGGGAGGAGGAGGAGGAGGAGGCCTCTGCGACTCTCGTGGCAACGCTCGGATGCACAGGCAGAACGCGCTGGCGAAGAGTGCAAGTGACGCGGTGGCGGAGGCGCGCTCGGAGAGAGGGCGCGCTCTCCTGGTTCGGCGAGGGGCGGGCGGGCGCGAGCAGACCAAGAGGCCAAACGAGCCACCCGAAGACCTGGCAGCGTCGTGCTGCAACGAAGCAGCTGCAGCGCAGAGCGAGGCAAGGGCGCATCGCACTCCGAAGCCTGGGCGCCCGCGCACCTTCTGCGTCGCGGCGCGGCAGGGGCGGTCCGCACGCGCGCTCGGGCGAGCCGGGCGAAGCCTCGGCGCCCACAGGAAACCACGGGTTGAATTCCAACGTGGATCTGTTACTATACAGAGGGTCATGAAACAAACGTTGAAGCACATATTATGACGATATGTGCATATGCGGTCTGGCAAATCGGGGCGGCATCAACGGGCACCCGCGGCCCAGGGGCACCCTGGTTGGCGGAGGCAACTCCGGCTGCCGCAACAGCTCTCCGCCCGCTGCCGCGCACAGCCGCCCTCGCAGCTCTTCCGCCGCCCTCCGCGGGCAGCCTGCCATGGGGGCGAGATGCCCCCCCCTTCGGCTCCTCGAGGCTGCGGGCCCTCTTTGGGGAGCCAGAACGCCCCCGACTGCCGCCGCCAGCGGAGGAAGAGAATTCTCCAGACTTCGGAGTGGACCCGCAGTGGATCCCCTGGGGGGTCCAGGGGTGGATCCACCACGGATGCGCTCGTATGGGCACGAGAAGCGGCGACGTGTATTTTAAGGTGAGACTGATGTCATGCCAAGATTGGCTCCATGTGCGTTCCCGGAATTACACAGGATCCAGCGGCGCAGCCAGTGCGGAACAGCAGGAACTGTGGGGAATCCGGGGGCCTTGGTAATCTTGGAACGTATCATTATCCTGAGCTCCTGCTAATACCAGCATGAAATACGGGGGGGCGGGTGCGATAGAAGCGAAACGAGGGAAAATAAGATGACGAGCCCTTCTCTCACAGATGGGCTTCTCTGCACACATCCCATGCCGCCCTTCTGTCACAGAGGGGCCAGAACTGCCACCTTCTTTCGGCTTTTGGATTGCCCATCGCTCGGAAGAAGCATGTAGAAACATGAAGCAGGAAGACGTTGAAGGTTGATCGGGTCCCGTCCGCCACTCTGAGGAGGACGGAATAGGTGAGGCCACTCGATCATGGAAGTAGTTGGGAAGGCGCTCAGAGTAGACTGGGTGCTGGGACGTCGAAACACACCTACTCTCAACGACCGATGGGTACCCCGAGACTCGCTGGAGGCATGGCCGCGCCGACGAGGAGCCGCCGTGGACCCGCCCGTGGGCCCGCCGTGTGCGCCAGGGCGGCAGCCGGGAGCGGCAGGGCGGAGGCGCGCCTCCTCCCCGTCCAGCGCCCCCGGCTGGTCGATGCGCGAGTCCGCGACCTGCGCGGGCTCGGCGGTCGAAAGGTGGCGTTTGACTACATTTGGGGCGTTGACCCAAGGAACCCTAAATGAGGAACGAGGCCCCTTTTTTCCCATAAGTTAAACGCCGATGTTCCATGGGAAACCTCAGGAAAACCCAAGGAGCACTGTAAAACAACTAAGGAACACGGAGCCCCTCCCAAACGAAAAGAGTTCCTTCTTCAGCGTCCCGACTGTATTCTTTGACTGCACTGGACTACTCCTCCTGTAGAGGGGCACGCCCGACTTAAAACAAAGGCCCGACGACCCGACAGCGAAAACCGTGGGCTCGTTGGGCGCTCGGCGTGCGCACCCTGCTGTGAAGTTATTGTTGGCACACGCGAGATCTCCAGCACGCCGAGTAGCGTTCAAGATGGCCTCCGAGACCGCCAGCAGGCTCCCCAAAAAACCAAAGAGCTATGTTGTTCCCATCGCACTTACGGACCACGTCCCAGAAACAAGTGGCACGTGCGCCATGGCTCTTGCATGAAAATGAAGGGGGAGGAGGAGGAGGAGGTGGAGGAGGGGGGAAATGGGGGCAAGACATCGCCCCTCGGGGCCCAGCAACGGGGCCCAAGTCCTAGGTGGGGAGGGGGGGGAGGTGGCGTGCGTCGCGACGCGGAATAATAAAATTGTCCGGGCAGAAGGGGACACGAGGAGGAGGTCCTACTGGGCGCTGGAGGCGCGGACAGGAGGGGGGGAGGTGGTGTGCGTCGCGACGCGGGATAAAATGGTCGGGGCGGAGGGGGCACTGGGCGGGGCTTGGGGCAGAGGGCCACGGGCGGGGAGTCCAACTGGGGCGCTGGGGACGGGGAGGGGGAAGGGGGGAGGCGGCGCGCGTCGCGACGCGGAATAAAATTGTCCGGGCGGGGGGGGGCACGGGGCGGAACCCCCACTGGGGCGTTGGGGACGCGGGGAGGGGAGGTGGTGTGCGTCGCGACGCAGAATAAAGCGTTCGTGGCGGACGGGGCAGTGGGCGGGGCTCCCGCTGGGGCGCTGGGGACGCGGGGGGGCTCGGGGCAGAGAGCCACGGCGCGGGGGTCCCACTCTGGCGCCGGGGACGCGGGGGGGTGGGGAGGGGCGACGCGAATAAAGCGTTCGTGGCGGAGGGGGGCATTGGGCGGGGTTCCCGCTGGGGCGCTGGGGGCGCAGGGGGGGCTCGGGGCAGCCAGCCACGGCGCGGGGGTCCTACCATGGCGCTGGGAACGCGGGGGGGGGGGCGGGGGGCGCGCGCGGAATAAAACGTTCGTGGCGAAGGGGGAAATGGGCGGGGCTCCCGCTGGGGCGCTGAGGGCGCGGGGGGGCTCGCGGCAGAAAACCACAGCGTGGGGGTCCCACACTGCGCTGGGGACGCAGGGGGGGGGGGGGGGGGGGGGGGGGGGGGGGCACGCGAAATAAAGGTTCGTGGCGGAGGGGGCAGTGGGCAGGGTTCCTGCTGTGGCGCTGGGGGCGCGGGGGGGCTCGGGGCTGAGAGCCACGGCGCGGGGGTGCCATTCTGGCGCTGGGGACGCGGGGGGGGGGTGCGACGCGGAGTGGTGCGTTCGCGGCGGAGCTGGCAGTGGGCGGGGCCCCCGCTGGGGCGCTGAGGGCGCGGGGGGCTCGGGGCAGAGAGCCACGGCGCAGCGGTTCCACTCTGGCGCTGGGGTCGCGGGGGGGGGGGGGGGGTGCGACGCGGAATAAAGTAGTCGGAGCTCTACACACCCTGTGCAAGAGAACGTGTTCGAACACCCAGAAAAACATCGAAACAGTGTTGGACGAGTGCCGCCTCCCAGGGCAAGACACGTGAAAACCCTCCAATTCGGGTGCGTCTTTGTGCTCGGCATCCGCTCGGACGATCAAAGCTAAATGAGGATTGAACATCGTAAACCCAAAAGAGAAGTAACGGGATTCAAATAAAATTCCGGCGCTCCACGCGGATGCTTTGGATATGTGTTGGAAACCCCGTCCCTGGCGCGCGGAGCGCGCCAAAGGCGGCGCCGGAGGCGCCGCCGGGGTGGTCAAGCGCGGATCCAAGAAATCCGCGCGGAACGCCAAAATTTTATGTTTATGCCGTTACGTCTGATAACGGCGAGGGGCCTCAAGCAAGGACAACCCACCTTTGGATTAGTTGGATCCCTTCCCACCCAACCATGGACCCCTTCCAGGAGCCTTGATCCACCATCAAATTGCCGCGGCGGCTGGCGGAGCACGGGGGCGCGGGCCACGTTGGATTCCAACGTGGGTCTGTTACTATAGACAAGGTCATGAAACAAACGTTGAAACACATGTTATGCCTATCTGTGCATATGTGGACTGGCAAATCGGGGCGGTATCAACGCGACGCCAAGGGTCGTCGTGGACTCGAGCCTTTGGCCTGGAAGCACGAGGCGCACGATTACCCATATAATGAAGTTCTGCAACCGGTCACTGTGTTCTGGGGGCACCGACGCGCAGAACAATGTTCAGCTAATCGTTAGCTGGCGCCCGCGTCGAACTCATGCCTCTTCCCCCGCCTCCTCCCAATATCCCTTCGCATTGGCCCCGCCCTCCTCATGCCCCTCCGAATACCCCGAGTCCTCATCATGCCCCGTATCCACATTGTCACCCCCCCTGTGCCAATTCATGTCGTTCCTCGTCATCCTCCTCCGCAGGATGAGTTCCCCCATCGTCCACATGCCTGCCCTCCTCCCATCCTCTACGCCCTAGTGCAGATCATGCCCCCTCCTTCTGCCCCCCCCCGCCTCCCTCGCCCTCGTGATGCTGACACCGATGATGCAGCTCCTCATGGGCACATTTCCCCCCTCTCGTCCAGTCCCATTCATCCCTGGCCACTTGGCCACTCCTCCTATCGAACCCCTTCCTTCCCACAGTCCACCACCCCCACCCCCCTCCGCGCCTGTGCATTCCCAGACCACGGCCCCCTCCTGGACCTGCCGGGAGACCCGAAGAAACTCCCGCCCAGTGACCACTCCAGCTAGCGGCGCGCAACAAATGCACAGTCGGAGACACGAGCTGTGCATTTCGACCGCGTACGACGCCACCCCTGGACCAGCCGAAAGAGAAACGCGAAAACTCCCGCCCAATCAACACCAGCCGCGAGCTGCACACTCCAAATACACACATGGGAACGAAACCTGCGCACACAGATCACACCACGACCTTGATCTGTGTATTTCGAAAAAGGTAAAAGCTCGCCACCTCGAGGGTGCCCCAACTCCGCCAACCCACAACCGAGGTCGACATGCCCAGCTAGGGGGATGCAAGTATACGCTTCCCCGGCCCAGGGCGCCCCCGAAGGAGCTGAAAATGCACGCGTCCCTGGCCCAAGGCGGCCGCGGCGAAACGCGACACCAAAGCGGCCCCCAACGGCCCGAAAACGTCCCCAACGGCCCCGAAGGACCCCACAGAAGGCCGCACAACAATCCGAGAACACGAAAGGTGTCACATGTCATGGACCCCGTAACAGTCAAAGCTCCACGCGTCGCCATACAGACCGCTGCACTGGCAAGGGGGCGGACCTGGCCGCAAGCACCTATAATTTACATGTTAGCGATACGACTGTGTTCGGCGGCCGTGCCGCCCGCGTTTGAAGTGCGCCCCGATAGCTCGCATTGGCAATCCCTCTGTTCGGTTGCGCCGCTGCGCCCAAATATCGAAACGGCGATCTACTGCTGATACGGGCACGCGGCACCAGGGACTTCACTTTTCGAACAAGGGGACAGACGAGGTAGGGACGGACGGTGGAGCAGGGAGGCACAAGGTAACGAGGAACAGTGGGGGAGGTAAAAAGGGGCGCTCCCCCGCCAGAGCCGCGAACGCTTTCGACACCATCCATGGGGCGGAAGAAAGGAAAGGGAATGGAGCAAGGGCGAGGACGACGACGGGAAGCAAAGTGTCCTGGGTCCGCATATAGCCATATGCTTGCAATTCGGGTGCGCGCGCTTTCTTCGAGGCACTCCAAGCTCGACCCATTCACGAATTCCTCCAAACTGTGTAAACATTCTGCCCTCTGCCCCCCCTTCCTATACACCTGCCTCAGAACAGAGGAGCAGTGGATTCCAAGGGCCACGCCCCAGAGCGCCCAGGGCGAGTCTCTGCGGCAGCGCGAGCGGGAGAGGCACCACGAGCAGCGTCTGCCGGCGTGGGGCCCGGGCAATGCTACGTCTTCGGCCACGGACCCCCGTCCAACACAGTAGGGGCCGACCACAAGAAACCTTCCACAAGAAATCCAACCCCGAGACCCCAGGACGCCCAATCATGTTTTTGGTGTGGGAACGTCGCGTTGTCCATTGCAAGACCATCGAAGCCCAAGAAACCCAGGGCACCCTGGAGGCAAGCAGGGTGATTCTTGGCATGGGTCCCCACTGTACAATCAAGCTGCTGCAATGAGGAACGCTGAAGTCTGGAACAGAGCCCCTTTCTGGGCTTCAGAGGAGCCTAGATGCGCGAGGAGGGCTGGAGGAACAACCACAGAAGGACCTGAGCCCGGCGCCTGATGATCCCCAGACGTCCGATGACTTGAACTTCTCCATGCGCGGATCTTGGCATGGGTCTCCACTGTACCCATCGGCTTCGGGCGGACTTCGGCGGTACTCGGCGGTCCACTGACAGTCTTCGGCGGCCTCTGGTGCGAGAGCTTGACGGTGGCGTCCAACAAGGGGCCAACGACCAAACAGCGAAAGCAATGGGCTCTTTGGGCGCTCGACGTGCGCACTCTGCCGTGGGGCTTTGGCACACGAGATGTTCAGCACGTCGAATATCGGGGGTGCGCAAACATGGATTAGCGATCCATGGATTTGGCGCGCGGTCGTCAAATCCATAGATCGGGGGAAGTGCCCTCCCCAAAATGCGGCCCGTGCCACCTCCTTCGGCGGCCGAAATCCGCGATTTCCTGCAGAAAAGGGGTCCGTCGCTAATCCACGCCCCCTTGATCCGTGTTTGCGATCGCCTGGGAAAGGCGTTCAAAATAGCCTCCGAGGCCGCCAGCAGGCTCCCAAAGACCCCCCCCTTGAACCTCCTCTAAAGCCCCCGAAGCGCTCCCAAGAAAGTCCAAAAGACCTCAGAACTACCTCTGGCCAGACTTCCAAGAGACCCCCCTAGCGAGCCTCTACGGATCCGAGACCTTCCTGGGGCCTTCCTCCAAATCCCCCTGCAAGGCCAGTGGAACCAACCGGAAGGCATCTGAAGTAGCGTCCCGCGTGCGAGTGGTAGGAGCACGCGCGCACTGGCAAGGAAGGGCGTTGGAACAGGCGCTCCGCAAACACACTGCCGCAGAGCACTAGGACTGGGCACTGGCGCGGGCGCGCGCTAGGATTATGTCGGGCCTGTCCCCCTATAGGGAGATGCTCGACGAAAAATAGAAAATACCCCAAACATAATCAAAAAATACTCCAAAAATAGTCTGGGGATATTTTTTGAGTAGTTGTTGGCCTTTTGGGGGTATTTTTTTTTTGTTTTTAATATTTCCCGTCGAAAATCCCCCTGTTGGGGGACAGGCCCGACTTAACGCCAGGAAGGCATGACACTCTGCTGCGTGCTCGCAGGCTGGGCCACACCACCTCGTGCGCGCGCACCGGCCCCGCGCGGCCCTATAGGCGGCAACGACCCCGAGCGGCTTTCCCGACCTGTTTTCCCGGGAGTCGCGGAGGAGGAGGAGAAGGAGGAGGAGGAGGACGAGGAGGAGGAGGAGGAGGAGGAGGAGGAGGACGAGGAGGAGGAGGAGGAGGAGGAGGAGGAGGGGAGGAGGAGGAGGAGGAGGAGGAGGAGGAGGAGGAGGAGGAGGAGGAGGAGGAGGAGGAGGAGGACAGCTGGGGCGAACGGGGCGTGGGCTCCCTCGCCCCCCGCGGCCTCCCCGAGCTGCTTCCCCGCCACGCCTCCGCGTCGGCAGGCAGCTCGGGAGAGCCGCCGGGCAAGGAGGGGGCTCCGGGGCCCCCCAGCGAATGCGGTGTGATTCGGGACGTCCGCTCGGACGTTCACGGAGAATCTTCGGGACATCGGAGTATATGTTTCTGGAGAGGTTTGAAGGACCTCCGTCGCGGTTTGAGGAGACAAGAGATATCAACTTCCGCGGGTGTTTGCAGGATTCGGGGGCTCGCGCCTTTTCGGGCCGAGAGCGGCCAAAGACGGCTCTGATGGCCTCCGAGATCGCACCAGCACGGCCCAAGAGGCTCGAAGAAGGGCACCGTGACGGCCCATAGTGAAGGGGCCCTGGAACACACAAATAAACACACACACAGTCAAGAGGGTTCTCCACATTTTCCAATATTTTCTGGGCTATTGGCTTCCCCCCCACTTCCATATTTTCCCATATCTTCTGGGGAATCGACGATTAATTGTGTCTGTGCGTTCTTTTCCCTTCTGAGAGAAGGCCACCTGAGCTGCTGTGCTGTTCAGACGTGCCTTCTTCCCCTACCCCAGGCTGCCATGCTGCGCTGTGCCGCGCTGTACTGCGCTGTGCTGCGCTGCGCTGGATGGGCTATTGGGTCCCTATCGGTGATCCCTGGGCGATCAGGGGTCGACGATTCCCCCCGAAGAGGGGGGTGCATCGATAGGGGGGATAGGCATGGTATGCCTGTTCCTGCCCTAATAAAGGGGATCAGGGGCAACGCTCCCAGACCTCCGACGTCATGATTTTTGCAGAACGTCGATCCCCAGGTTTGGACGCCCAAAATGGGCACGGAAAGAAGGGGTACACTGCCCAACAACAAAGGTTGTCCCAAACCAACAGCGGCCGCTGTTGGGCAGGCGGCCTCCTGTCTCGAATGGACGCAGGCCGCGGCGGCGCGCACAGCGAGTCCTGTCCAAAATGAACAGGAACTGCTGTTGGGCATTTCGGGAGCGGCCAAGAGGGGGGTGTCCAATAGGGGGGGGGGTGCAAATCATGACCGGCGGCATGTGCGCGGCCCAGCGGGGGGGCCAGGGACGTAATGAATTGAGTAGAGGCGCCATGAGATCTGGGGAAATATCATGGCCCCCGCCATGATATCCACCCGCCCCTAGTCATCACCCCCCTCTTTTCCGCCCCCGAGCATTATACCCATTCTTTCCGTACCCATTTCGGGCGTCCAGACCAGGGGCCTCGACCCATCCCTCGGGACCGGCTCCCCATCCCGAGTCGCTTTCTGACGGGCCCGGGGCCTGGGCAGGGCCCCCAGGAAGCCGAAGACAGCGAGCAGCCCCCAGTCACCGTCGCCCTTTTTTGCCGCACCGCGAGGGGGTGATGGGCATGGTGGTTGTGCCCATCCGTGGAGCAAGGACCGACCGTCCCGGCATCCCTGTAGTCCTACCACGAGATGTTCTCAGAACCCAAAGATGTTCTAAGAACAAGAACGATGCTATTAGAACATATTCCCGATGTGTCACAAGAGGACAGTCACAGCCAGAACTGTTCTCAGAACCTTTCTTGGAAGCCACAAAAAAAAGGTTCTTAGAACATTGCTTGGTAGGGCTATAGGCACGCCAGGACGCTTCGCCACTGCTTGAATCCGCCCCTACCCTTGCCCCCGATCCCCGCACCCGCCGAGGAGGAAGGCCGGAACCCTCGGCCAGCGGGTGCAGGACCTTGGCCGGCGGGCGCACGACGACCGGGGCCTCGTCGGCGGAGCTGGCCGGGCGCTCCTCGGGCCGCCGGGAGGGCGTTCCGACGAAGCCAGGGCGAGGATCAACTCGGGTGGGGACAAATCGAGCATCTCTGGGATCCGGCGGATCTGGGGGATATCTCGGGCGCCGCAGCCTTCTCAGAGCGTTCTGGAACGCTCGGAGAGCGGACCGCTCGGGATCGGATTTATCCTCGTCCTAGCCCCGTTGGAGGCGTGTCGGCGAGTCCTAAGGGCAGAGCCCAGAGGTCCTGGCGTCGCAAGGTGTTCACACCAGGCGATTTCGCGCCAGGGGGCCCTCCCGGATCCGTCCGGGGCCCTCACGGACCGATCCATGGGTCCTCACCGCAGATCCGCTGCGAGAAAAAATGTCGCAGGGAGATGCGTCGGCGGCGCGCAGAGGGGGGTAATTAGGGGGAGGGGGGAAGGCCTCTTAGGAGCACCCCTGCCTCTCAGATGGCGGCGGCTACAGGGAAGGCCCGCGCCGTGCAAGAAGCAGGGGTGCTGCTAAGACGCCTTCCTGCCTCCCCCTAGCCCCCTTGGCGCGTGGCCGCATGCGATCGCGGGCTCCGGCCGTGATTCTTCCGCGGATGCTGCAGCGTGTGTTTGCGGCGTGGGCTCCGAGGGAAGGCCACAAGGAAGACAATACCTCGGGGGCGCCGACGAGAGGGGGGCCAGGAAGAGGGGGTGGTGAGAACAAGGGCCCCAGGGGCACACGCATACATAGAGACAAATCCCAGGATTCCCCATCTGTTTCCAGGTTTTCTCGGTTTTCGTCCCCCCCCCTCGCCACTTCCCACATTTTCCCGATTTTCCTGGGAGACGACGGTCACCTGTGTCTGTGTGTGTTGTTTCCCCTCCTGAGCGAGGTGCGCATCGTAGCCCGAGGCATGTGCGCGGCCGACACGGGGGCCCCGGGGCGTGTCGAGAGAATGCCAGGGGGCCGTGCAGTCTGAAACATGCCATGGCCGTGGCCGCGCCCTGGTCCTCACCTCGGGCGGGTGCGAGTGGGGACTTGCCAGACGCTCGTCGACGCCAGTGAGCTCTGAAGACAGACCTACGGGGGTGCACAAGGCCCCCACGATTTGCCAACAACAAGGGCTCCCAACTTCGCGCTTCGCGCTCCGCGAAGCGCGAAGAACTTCGCGCTCTCGCGCTGCCCCCCCCCCAAGGGAGAAAAGGAGGACGAGGAGGAGGGGGAGAAGGAACGAGGACCGCGAAGCGCGAATAACTTCGCGCCCTCGTGGGAGCCCTTGGATTTGCCAACCAGAGGAAGCGAGAGGGAGGGAGAGGGACACGTGGGCCCAGCCGCCCGCAGGCTTGAGGCCCCACCGATTCTGCGCGGGCCCCTCGCCGTCTCCCCGCTCCGCCGCGCCCCGGCCCAGCCCTCCCGTCCCGCCCCGCCCCTCCCTCGAGCCCCAGGCGGTGGGGGGGGTGGGGGAAGTGAGCAGAATTCGGTGGCAACTCAGGGGAGCCTTCCATGCCATCACGTCGGCTCTCGCGAATCGACGCGAATCGACGCTGGTCGACGCTGGTCGCCGCTGGATGGACGATGGATCGGCGCTAAGTCGGCGCTAGATCGGCGCTGTCTCATCGACTCCCAGACGCTGATCGACGCTAATGAACGCTAAAGACGGAATTGAGAGGATATACAATGGTCCCACGACTTGCTACCAAACGACTCTCCCCTCACCACTCTGCTGTTGCCTTCGCCACTGGAGGGGTCGAGGCCCATTCCATCAGCTGGACCTCGTCGAGAACTCCAGGGCCGCAACGCTAAGGTACCGATCGGCCTTCTGTGGGCTCCGCTCTGGCTCCCGAACTGATTCGAGCCATCACGGGGTCCTCTCCCTCCTCCTCCTCCTCCTCCTCCTCCTCCTCCTCCTCCTCCTCCTCCTCCTCCGCCCTCCTCCCTTCTCCTCCTCCTCCTCCTCCTCCTCCTGTTCCGCCCTCCTCCTCCTCCTCCTCCTCGCCGCACCGTGCGAGCTGCGCTGTCGCGCGGCCCCGCGAGCCGCCGTGCCCGTCCCCGGGGCGGGTGGGCCGGCGTGCGGGCCGTGCCCGCCTGGAAGAAGACAAAACGGCAGACGCATAACCTTTTCGCGCTCCGCGAGAACGAGGGTACCCGTCCCAAGCAAGGACTGCTCTTGACCCTGCGTTAGCTGCATGTTTCGAAGAAGACTACACGGCATACTTGATTGCTGGTTGTACTTAATGTGTATATATGTATGTACATGAACATATGTGCTTAATGTATATGCAGGTGCACAAATATACGTATGTGTGTATATGTATATATGTGTACAGATGTTTGTATGTATGCATGTATGCATGCATGCATGCATGCATGCATGTATGTATGTATGTATGTATGTATGTATGTGTGTAGATGTGTGTAACTGTGTACGTGCGTAATATGTGTATATATATATGCATATGTATGAAGTGTTCGGAGGTCTGCGCAGATGTCTTGGGTCGGTGCTGGACCCTCCTCCCTCCGCGGAGCGCGCCAGGGGCGCGTGTGTGTGTATATATATATATATATACGCACACGGCCCCCCAGCACACACACACACATATATATATATATACACACACATACATATATACACACACGCCCCCCCCCACAGCACCCCCGAAGCCGACAAAACCACAAAACGAATCAGAGCCCGAACCACAGCCAGAACCAGCGCCAGAACAACCGAATCCATATAAGCAGAACCAAAACCGGAAACACCCAAACACAGAACCAGACGCAGAACCGTAACCAATGATCGTTTGCTCCTCCTCCTCCCTCTCCTCCCTCTTTGCGACTTCAGCAACAAAACCAAACATACACCATGTTTCCTTGAACCCAGAGCGCCAAACACTGTGAATGTTTGTTTTTTTTTCTATTTGTTCGGGTCAGAGGAGCAAGGAAGCACTGTGTATGTTGCTCTTTGGTTTTGAAAGCCCCAATGCTCGCAGGGCCCTCCCTCCCAGCAAGCACTGGCGCTGTCAAAACCCCAAACAACAAAAACAACAAAAAGCATACACAGTGTTTCCTTGAACCGAGAGCGCCAAACACTGTGTATGTTTGGTGTTGGGTTTGTATTGGGTCAGAGGGGCAAAGAAACACAGTGTATGTTTTTTCGTTTGTGTTGAAAGCCCCAATGCTCGCAGAGGCCTCTCTCCCAGCAAGCACTGGCGCTGTCAAAAACAATACAAACAAACAAACATACACAGTGTTTCCTTGCCCCTCAGACCAACAAAAACAAACAAACAAACATACACGGTGTTTCCTTGCTCCGAAAGCGCCAATGACTGTGTATGTTTGGTTGTTTCGGTCCCACAGCCAGGACCAACGCCAGAACAACCGAAACCATAACCATAACCTGAACTAGAAGAACCCAAAACCAGAACCAGAAGCATACCCGTAACCAATGATCGTTTGCTCCTCCTCCTCCCTCTCCGCCCTCTTTGCGACTTCAAGTAAAAAAACCAAGCATACAAAATGTTTCCTTGAACCGACAGCGCCAACACTGTGTATATTTGCTGTTTTTTGTTATTCGGGTCAGAGGAGCAAGGAAACACTGTGTATGCTTGTTTTTGTTTTTTTGTTTTGAAAGCCCCAATGCTCGCAGGCGCCTCCCTCCCAGCAAGCACTGGCGCTGTCACCCCCCCTCCCCCCAAAGTAAGAACACATACACAGTGTTTCCCTGAACCGAGAACGCCAAACACTGTGTATGTTTGGTTTGGGGGGTTTTCGGGGTCAGAGGAGCAAGGAAACATGGTGTCTGTTTGGTTATGCGATTACCTAACAGCGAAGACTGGTTTCTTGTGGGCTCAAAAAAAAGCATCTTGACTCCCCAGTGGGGTCTGGGCGGATGCTGGGGGAATCCGGGGGATGCCGGAACTCCCCAGAACACCCATCCCAGGCCACATTTTTAATGCCCGGAGCCAACTGTAGGCCACTTCGTGTTCTTCGTGCTCCCACAACACCATTCCCAGGCCACATCTTGAATGCCCGGAGCCAACTGTAAGCCACTTCGTGTTCTTCGTCTTCCCAGAACACCATTCCCAGGCCACATGTTGAATGCCCGGAGCCATCTGTAGGCCACTTCGTTATCTTCGTGTTCCCAGAACACCATTCCCAGGCCACATTTTGAATGCCTGGAGCCAGCTGTACGCCACTCCGTGGTCTTCGTGTTCCCAGAACACCATTCCTGTACCATATTTTGATTGCCCGGAGCCAACTGTGGGCCACTTCGTGATAATCGTGTTCCCAACACACCAGTCCTGTGCCAAGTTTTGAATGCCCGAGCTGAGGCAGGCTGAGGCCGAGGCAGGCTGAGCCCGAGGCAGGCTGAGGCTGAGGCTGAGGCACGCCGAGGCAGGCTGAGGCTGAGGCTGAGGCAGGCTGAGGCTGAGGCAGGCTGAGGCTGAGGCTGACCCAGGCTGAGGCCGAGGCAGGCTGAGGCTGAGGCTGAGGCAGGCTGAGACGGCTGAGGCAGGCTGAGGCTGAGGCTGAGGCCGATGCAGGCTGAGGCTGAGAGGCTGACGTTGAGGCTGAGGCAGGCTGAGGCTGAGGCTGAGGCCGAGGCAGGCTGAGGCTAAGGCTGAGGCAAGCCGAGGCAGGCTGAGGCTGAGGCTGAGGCTGAGGCAGACTGAGGCTGAGGCTGAGGCTGTGGCTGAGGCTGAGGCAAGCTGCGGCTGAGGAAGGCTAAAGCTGAGGCTGATGCAGGCTGAGGCTGAGGCAGGCTGAGGCTGAGGCCGAGGCAGGCTGAGGCTGAGGCTTAGGCCGAGGCAGGCTGAGGCTGAGGCCGAGGCAAGCCGAGGCAGGCTGAGGCTGAGGCTGAGGCTGATGCTGAGGCAGGCTGAGGCTGAGACAGGCTGAGGCTGAGGCTGAGGCAGGCTGAGGCTGAGGCAGGCTGAGGCCGAGGCCGAGGCAGGCTCAGGCCGAGACAGGCTGAGGCTGAGACTGAGGCTGAGGCTGAGGATGAGGCCGAGGCAGGCCGAAGCTGAGACAAGGTGAGGCTGAATGGGGGGGGAAGGGGGAGGGGGGGGGAGGAGGGGGGGAGGGGAGGCTGAGGCGCGGCGAGGCTGAGGCCGAGGCAGGCTGAGGCTGAGGCTGAGGCAAGCCGAGGCAGGCTGAGGCTGAGGCAGGCTGAGGCCGAGGCAGGCTGAGGCTGAGGCTGACGCAGGCTGAGGCCGAGGCAGGCTGAGGCTGAGGCTGAGGCAGGCTGAGGCTGAGGCCAAGGAAGGCTGAGGCTGAGGCTGAGGCAAGCCGAGGCAGGCTGAGGCTGAGGCTGAAACTGAGGCAGGCTGAGGCATCCGTAGGAATCCATAGGAACCCTTAGGAATCCATAGGAATCCTTAGGGATCCGTAGGCATCCTTAGGAATCCGTAGGCATAGTTAAGCATCCTCAGGGATCCTTAGGATTCCCTAGGACTCCTTAGGAATCCCTAGGAATCAGGATTCCTAAGGATTCCTAAGGTTTCCTAAGGATTCCTAAGGATGCCTAAGGATGTCTCAGGAATCCCTAGGAATCCTTAGGATTCCATTGGATCCTAAGGCCGTTGCCACTGCGACTGTCATTGCGAATGCGACTGCGACTACGAGAACAGCAGAATTCTACAACTGGATTCTCACCTGAATCTCAAGGGGAATGCCTCCACATATGCTTATACACATCGCTATTAGGTTACTTTGCCGGGATGTTCTTGTTTTGACAGCCCCAATGCTCGCAGAGGCCTCTCTCCCAGCAAGCGCTGGCGCTGCCAAAGCCAGCAACAACGCAATACTCAAAAACGCATACACAGTGTTTCCTTGCCCCTCAGACCAACAAACAAACAACCACATCATCAACATCAACATCAACATCATCAACAACAACAACAACACCAACACCAACACCAACACCAACACCAACAACAACAACAACAACAACAACAACAACAACACCAACAGCAACGACAACACCAACAACAACACCAGCAACAACAACAACACCAACAATAACAGCACCACCAACAACAAGTGTTCCTTGCTCCGAGAGCGCCAAACACTGTGTATGTTTTATTGTTTGGGCCTGGAGGAGGAGGAGAGGGAGGAGGAGGAGGAGGAGGAGGAGGAGGAGGAGGAGGAGGAGGAGGAGGAGGAGGAGGAGGAGGAGGAGGAGGAGGAGAGGAGAGGAGGAGGAGGAGAGGGAGGAGGAGGAGGAGGAGGAGGAGGAGGAGCAGGAAGAGGAGGAATATGAAGAGGAGGGGGAGGAGGAAAGGGAGGAGGAACGAGGAGGATGAGGAGCATGGGAGAGAAGAGAATGACGATGAGGAGGGTGCCCCCCATGAGGGGGAGGAGGAACCATGAGGATGAAGAGGAGCAGGAGGAAGAAGAGAAGGACGCTGAGGGGGGAACCACCCCTCCTCCCCCTCTCTCCGCCGTTTGCAGGGAGCCCGGGGGCGAGCGGCCCAGGGAGCCCTGGGCTTCGCCTGATGTCGGGCCTGTGAGGAAAAATGAAACAAAACAGTAAACAATGTTCGACTATTTTTGAGCATTCCTCCTGTAGCGGGACAGGCCCGACTTACGGCGAGCAGCCCAGGGAGCCCTGGGCTTCGCCTGACCTCGCGCGGCGCGCAGCGCTGGAGCGCGACGCAGACCTGCGCGCCCTTGCGCTCTCGGCCGGTCCCCGCGGGAGAGGGACAGCTCGCCAGCCCAGGCCGCGGGGCGAGAGTCGAGAGGTGCAGGGATCGTCGGGCCCCACCGCGGGTGACCTGCCAGGCGGCGCGCTGGCAGCATTGTTCTGGACGACCGGGACGGTAAGGAAAAACTGGGTGCGATACCTGACATTCTGTCGGGCGCGTCCCCCTACAGGCGGACTTGGGAGGAAAAGTCAAACATACCCCCCAAAATGTGCAAAAATAGCCAACCAATTCTCAAACAATCGTCCCCATATCATCTGTTGGGCATTTTTGAATATTCCTCCTGTGGAGGACACGCCCGCCTTAAAACCTAACAACCATTGTCGCCCCAGACCGACAGCGGCCGCTGCTGGGCAGGCGGCCTCCTGCCTCACGTCGGCCACGCCCGCGGCGGCGCAGACGGCGAGTCCTGTCCACGAGGAGCAGGCACTGCTGTGGGTCTTCGTGCCCGTCCTTTCCGCACTAGCAGCCTCCCAGATGGGGTCCGAGTAGAGGGGGTCGCAGGATCGCGCCGCATCGCCGATGCATCGGCGACGCATCGGCGATGCACCGGCGATGCATCGTCGCCGTCGGCGATACACTGGCGACGTCGACGTGAAGCAAGTCGGGCCCCACATCGAGCCGCAGCGGCGGTGCATCGGCGATACGGCGCGACCCTCCGACCCCCATCTGCTCCGACCCCCTCTCGGAGGCCTAGACGCACCCACCTCGACCGTCCCGAGTGGCACCTCGAGCCTGCCCCGTACCCCGAGAGCTCCCGGGCGAGCGCTGGGAGCTCCTCGCTGGACGCTCTCCGAGCCAGCAAGAGGGCCCCAGGAGGTCCCCCGAAACGAGCCCAAGAGGGCCCCGAAAGGCCCAAAGACCGCTCCAAGACGTGCCGGGGGATGGGCCCCCTGTGTGCCCCGAGGGGCCTCCGAGGCGCCCCAGGAGGCGGGCCCAGAGCGGCCCGCGCCGCAGGAAGTCCTCGGCGCCGCGGTCTCTGGCGCAGAAGCGCCACGGAGCGGTCCCAGAATCAAGGCAGGCCTGATCCCCTTTCGCGCGGGAGCTGGCTCGGGGCACCCGCCTCGTCCAGGCTCTCCGCCGCCATCTTCGCCCGCCTCGGCTTGGCCGCCTCACCCTTCTTGGCCTTCTTGCTGCCCGCCTGTCGGTCTTGGGCTGTCACAGCAACGCCAGAACAATCCGTCGCGCCTTCGGAATCGACTGAAGCTCGAGTTGGTGTAAACGCGCGGCAAGTGGACATGGGACAACCAAGCGCAAGTCGGGGTTGGGCAAACATGCGGGTGCCTCAGGAGAGTGAGAACAACCATTAGCGAACACCCAACAGTATAGCAAACGTTGACACGAAATTCGGAAGATTGGTACCAACTGCGAGCAAACTTGAAACAGGTTTGGAAAACGTCTGTCGCCCCGAGGGAATCCCACCAGCCCTTTGGGCGTGAGTGGTTTAGCGAGCCCTCTCTGTTCTCAACCCCCCTTCTTCCCCTTCGGGGAGGGGTTTACCCCTCCCCACAGCGCACGCCCACCCCACCCATCCCCTACCCCCCCCCGCCCTCTCCCTCCCCACCCACCCCCCCCCCCCCAACCCCCTCGACCCCCCGCCTCCCCCCCCTCCTCCTCCCGCTCCCCCGCCCTCCCCCCCCCAGCCCCCCCCCCCCCCCCCTCCCCTGGACCCCTCCCCCCCCCCCCCCCTCCGCCCCCCCCCCCCCCGCACCAACCTCCTTCCCCCTCCCCCTACCCCCTCCCCCTGGGCCTGGAGAGGGGGTTTCGCGGGTGGTCAGAGGGTCCTTTTTCTCTCCCTGGGAGGGCTAAAATTCGACACCCCTCACGAGGATCGTGGCCCCGACGGGGGTACTGACAAAAATGCTCGCCCCATCTGTGATCGATCGCCCGAAAGATGGCCCCAAGATACCTCCCAGACCCCTCCCAAAGAGCCCCAAGAGGCCCCAAGAGGCCTCCAAGAGGCCCCCAAGATGCCCCCAAGAGGCCCCCAAGAGGCCCCAAGAGGCTCCCCCGAGGCACCCAAGACGCTCCTGGAAGCCCCTGGGGCCGCCAAGAGGCCCCCAAGACGCCCCAAACGGCCTCCAAGAGGCTCCCAAGAGGCCCGAAGAGGCTCCCCCAAGGCACCCAAGACGCTCCTAGAAGCCCCTGGGGCCGCCAAGAGGCCCCCAAGAACGACTCAAACACAGGACGAGGGGCCCGAACGACTCACACCACGAAGAGCCCGAACGACTCACACCAGAAGGAGGGGCCCGAACGACTCACACCAGGACGAGGCGCCCGAACGACTCACACCACGAGGAGCCCGAACGACTCACACCACGACGCGGGCCCCGAACGACTCACACCACGAGGAGCCCGAACGAGTCACACCAGGAGGAGGGGCCCGAACGACTCACACCAGGACGAGGGGCCCGAACAACTCACACCACGAGAAGCCCGAACGACTCACACCAGGACGAAGAGCCCGAACGACTCACACCACGAAGAGCCCGAACGACTCACACCAGGAAGAAGGGCCCGAACGACTCACACCAGGACGAGAAACCCCAAACGACTCAAACCACGAGGAGCGCTTTCTCTCCCTCCTCCTCCGCCTCGTCCTTCTCCCGCTCCCACCACAAGGAGGATGTACAAGGAGGCGGGAGGAAGGAGGAACAGGGGAGATATGCGGGGGCAGGCGGAAACACGCCTGAAAAACACGACTGTCGGCATGCTTCGCAAGAGTTGCTGTTTTGAGATGGGCTGGTGGGGATACGCGGAGCGTGAAGAATTCGAACAACAATTTGAAAGCCTTCAGGCGCCCTCAGGACCTTTGGACAACAATTTGACACATGTTGCCCTCTGGGGCCCCAACACCCGAACGTTAACCAAGTTTGTTCCAAACATGTGCCTCGTTTTCCTGTCTCACTTCAGATTTTCAGTGCGCCGCCACTTGAAATGTTGCAGAACGTGCGCGCGCGCTCATTTTTGCCGGACATGGTGTCGTTCTCCCTCCGCAACGGTTTGACTGGTTCCCGTCTCCCGAGGCGTCTTTCGCGGGCGAAGGGTGGGGAAGAGCAGGAAAAGGCGGACCTGAAAAAGGAGGAGGACGAAGAGGAGGATGAGGAGGCGGGAGGAGGAGGCCGAGGAGGAGAAGGAGGAGGAGGAGGAGAAGGAGGAGGAACAGGAGGGGTGGGGATTGGTCAAGCTAGCCAGCTCGAGCGAGCCAGAAGGCTCCGTCCACTCCCACCCGCCGTCCCGCAACATGAGAAGCAAGTGCGTCGCGTCCGACGCCTGTCGCTCATCCTATATCGCGGGCGGCTGGACGTTCAGCGCGCGACATGAGCTGCGTCTATTTCTTGCCGCGTATTGAGCAACGTCGACGAGAAACAAGGACGCGCGCAATGTACGCCGCGCCCTGATCCGGCCTCTCATGCTGCATCGTCGGCGACAGCATGTCCAGCGCGCGAAGTGCGCCGCGTCTCATTCCAGCCACGCGCGTTGCACCGCCAATCGTTTCGCTCCTGCCGCGCATGGAGGAGGGGGGGGACGAGGACGAGGAGGAGGGGAGGGAGAGAGGTCTCTCTTATGTGGACACGACAACGGGCGCGCCGGCGGCGAACCGCACTTGCTTGGAGCATTGAAACATTATGACTTACCGCCCGCCCAGCTCCTCAACCCGACGGGCCGCAGCGTCGACGACAAGAAAGTCCATGTTGACGAACAGGCGTCCCCGCGCGATGCGCGCCGCGTCCCATTCCCGCTATGCGATTCGCAACGCCGACGAGGAGAAAACACATGTTGGCAAAGAAGACGTCGAGGTTTTTTGCCAGGTAATACGGGGGGTCCCGCGTGGGGACGGCCAGGCGTCCGCGCGCGATGTGCGCCGCGTCCTTTTCCTGCTACGCTTTTCGCAGCGTCGACGACAAGAAAATCCATGCTGTCGAGAAAAACGTTGGCTGGGCATTTTTTTGTGATAGGTAGGACGCGACCGCCCACTCAGGACCCCCAAGCGAGATTCATTCCGTCCCATTCCTGCTACACTTTTCGCAACTCGACGACATGTTGGCGAGGAACAGTTGAGTTTGAACTATTTTCTGACAGTTAGGACGGCGGGGTTGCTATCGGCCGGCTTTGTGGGAGTTCGGGGGTGTTTGGTCATAAGACGTAAGGATGGGGGATCAGCAGACGAGCGGCTGGGGCAGGCGGCTTGGCGGCATGCGGCGAGTGAGATCGTGACCGGATATTGTCCGCGACGCTGTGCACCACTCACGTGTAGTCAGACACCGGTCTGCGGAGAACGAGCTGCATCGTGGCATCCCCAAGACGGGGCGGATCGAAACGAGCAGGGCAGGGAACCGTGGCAGACCCAAGCCTGCCCAGACTGCAAGCCACGGTTAATAAAAGACCCTCCCTCTTAACCCCTGAGAGTTGACAATCCCGGGCCACGACAAATTTGTTCGGGAGAAAGGGGCGGCGAGGCCGAACTTCAGTATCGCCCGGGAAAGTACGAATCGAAGTTCCGATCCTGGAAGTTGAGAAGCGTACTCTACGTCCTACAGCATGCTACTACAATTGCTACGACTACTACGACTACTACACTTACTACTACTACTACGACTACTACTACTACTACTACTACTACTACTACTGCTACTACTACCACGACTACTACTACTACTACTACTACTACTACTACTACTACTACTACTGCTACTGCTACTACTACTACCACTACTACGACTACTACTACTACTACTACTACTACTACTACGACGACGACGACGACGACGACGACGACTACTACTACTACTACTACTACTACTACGACTACTACTACTACTACTACTACTACTACTAATACTGTTACTACTACCAGTACAACTACCATTACAACAACTACTACTACTACTACTACTACTACTATTACTACTACTACTACTACTACTACTACTATTACTACTACTACTACTACTACTACTACTACCGCTACGTCCAAAAATCATGCAAAACAACAACTTGTACTACTACGACTAGCACTGCTACTACTATTACCACTACTGCTACTACATCTACTACACTTACGTCTACCACTACTACTACTACTACTACTACTACTACTACTGCTGCTGCTGCTGCTGCTGCTGCTGCTGCTACTGTGACTACACGTACTACGGCTACTACTACTACTATAGAAATTACTACCACTAGAACAACAACTGATACTACGACGACTACTCGTACTACTACTACTACTACTACTACTACTACTACTAGTACGACTACGACTTCTACCACTGAAACTACGACTTCTACATTTATTATTACTACTGCTACTACGACTACTACAACTACAACTACAACTACAACTACTACTACTACTACTACTACTACTACTACTACTACTACTACTACGACTACTACTACTACTACTACCACTAGTGCTACTACTACTACTACTACTACTACTACTACTACGACTGCTACTACTACTACGACTACTCCTACGACTCGTAGTGCTACTGCTCGTACGACTACTACTACTACTACTACTACTACTATTACTACTACTTCTACTACTACTACTACTACTACTACTACTGCTACTAGTACTACTACTACTAGCACCACTTTGACTACTACTACTACTACTACTACTACTACTACTACTACTACTACTGCTACTGCTACTGCTAGTGCTACTGCTACCGGTAATGGTACTACTACTGCGACCACTACTACTAACTACTACTCGTACTTCTGCTACTATTACTACTACTACGACTACGCCTACCTCCTCTACTACTATTCCTTGTACTACTACCGCTGCTACAGCAAATACTACTACGATTACTAGAAGTAGCACTTCTACTACAACTACTACTACTACTACTCCTACTACTACAGCAACGACCATTCTTCTTGCTACTGCGACTACTACTCTCATCACTACTTCTACGACTCCTAATACTAGTAGTAGTAGTAGTAGTAGTAGTAGTAATAGTAGTAGTACTACTACTACTATTACTACTACTACTACTACTACTACTTTTACTACTACTACTACTACTACTATTACTACTACTTCTACTACTGCTACCCCTACTACTACTTACTACTACTACTACTACTACTACGACTACTACTACTACTAATACTACTACTACAACTACTACAACTACTACTACTACTACTACTACTACTACTACTACTACTACTACTACTACGACTACTACTACTACTACTACTACTACTACTACTACTACTACTATTACTGCTATTTCAATTAGTACTACGATTACTATTACTACGACTATTAGTAATACAACTAGAAGTAGTACTACTACTACGAAAACTACCACTGCCACAAACCTACCACTGCTACGATTACTACGACTGCTGATACTAGTACTGGTACTAGTACTACTACTAGGGTCACCCGTCGTCTATGGCCGGCCTGCTTATGGCTGGTAGTTTGGTTGGGTTTCCATACAAGTGTACGAAAACCCTATATAAACTACGCGTCCTTCACACTTGACTGATGGCCGGCACGCTGCGAGGTATCCTCAGGAATTCTCAGGGAATCCTCAGGCATTCCCCAGGAAACCTAAGGACTTCCCCCGGAATCCTAAGGAATTCTCCCGGAATCCTGAAGAATCCCTGAAGAATCCTGAGAAATCCATCAGGAATCCGAAAGAATCTTTGAGGAGTCCTGAAGGATTCTCCAGAAATCCTCCGGAAATCTCATGGAATCCCGAGCAATTCTTAGGAACCCCAAGGCAACCTGCAGGAAACCTAAACTTGTTTCCAGGAAGCGTCAAGGAATCCGAAGGAATCCTACGGAATCCTAAGGAATCTTAAGGAAATCCGCAGGAATCCTTAGGAAGCCCTGCGGAATCCCAAGGAAGCCATCAGGAAACCTAAGGAGTTCTCAGGAATCTGAAGGAAGTCTCTAGGAATCCCAAGGAATTCTTCAGGAACCCTAGGAGTAAAGCTAGAGTGACCACCATAGGCCAGCTCCGCTACCAAGTTTAAACAGGGGCTGGGAAGCCCAACCAGCAGCTTCGCCTTTGGCGAAGCCCAGCTCCCGCTCTGTTGTGCCGTAGTAGCGATAATCCCGGTAGGAGGAAGCGAGCCATCTCAAGCAGTTTTGGTATCGATGGCAAATGGTACACCTCGCGCTGCGGTGTAGTCAGATCTGGGCGGCCGGCCGCTTTGAGCCAAACAGCCGCGGATACACGTTCGTTCCCACTCACATGCGACGACCAGCTCACTTTAGAGTCAGCGCTCGGCCCCAAATGACCTCGGAACCCGTCGCCCCGGGCAGGCTGGTGACAAACTGCGCGCGCTGAGCACGATGAACGCCGTCTCGCAGCTGCGTGCGAACGTCGCTGGGGCAAGTGGCAAAGAAGCGAAATGATGTGGCCCTGGTCCATGCGCGCGTGGTCTGGCCCAACTAGGCCCCAACCAACCCTTCTGAGGGCCGGCTACACCGCTCCGACGGGCCCTCGGACACGCGACCGGTGAGGCCGCTCCGGCAAAACTTTGCTTGCGGCAGCCCAGGCCCGTCGAAGGTCGGCGTCTGCAGTTCCCTGGCCCCAGACCCAACAACAACAACGATGGACCAGCGGGACCGTGGCATCTACGCCAGGGTCAATAGACGCGTTGGGGTGCGTGCACAGATGCCCAGTGACATGGGCTCGTCCCGTGGCCCCGAGAAGACTTGCAGCGAAAGTATGCGACGACACGAGAGTAGCATTCGTCACCCCCGTCGCCCCCGCTCCGTGCCTCGCGCTGGGCATCGAGCCCGTGCGCCAGAGGCCTGACACCTTCAGGTGTCCTGCAGCTCTGCGAAGTGTTGCGATCCTCTGGCGCTTCTCCCACAAGGCGCCTCTCCTTGTGGCTTCGACCTTCATGTGCACACGTCTGCCATGCATGTCGTGCCCTAAATTTCGCATGCGCTTGCGGCTGGCGAAACCTAGAATGCGCGCAGTGACCTTGAGCTTCTTTTCGGCCGCAGTGCTCAAGGAGACGAAACCTGACTTGTTCAGCTGAAGCAAAAGGCCTATTGGCTGCACCTGCCTACAGAGCTTCTTCGTGGCACCCAGGACCTGGGTGGCGTCCCCCGCTTCTGGCCCATGCCTAGCAAGGAAACGTCATCCATAAGGGCTCTCGCTTGCACACTGGGGAACCCGCTGATCGTTCTCTTGATGGGCTGGAGAAGTATGGCCATCGTGACCGTCGAGGCCGCCGAACAACCAGCAAGGATCCCTTGAAAACTAACACAGGCCTCAGAGATGGACCCGAAAGCATCTATTGTGCGAGGGACGGTGTAACTTTGGATTAGCATCCACCCCAATCTGAGTGGGAATTCGACTTCACGAAAAATCTGTAAGAGCACGGACAGCTTAATCATCTCATAGCACTTGATCATGCCCAAAAGGACCGAAACTAAATGATGCTGCTTGGCCGACGCCTCTTCGAGGAGGAGGAGGAGGAGGAGGAGGAGGAAGAGGGGAAGGAGGAAGAGGGGAAGGAGGGGGAGGAGGAGGAGGAGGAGGAGGAGGAGGCAGGTGAGGAGGAGGCGGAGGAGGAGGAGGACGAGGAGGAGGAGGGGGAGAGAAGGACGAAAGGGACGAGGAGGAAGAGGAGTGATGACAACGAGGAGACGAAGGCGGACGAGGAAGACGAGGAGAAGAAACAGCAGCATGAACAGGAGGGGAAGAGAGAGAGAGAGAGAGCAAGCAACAGGACCGACGTCCGCTCAAGACCGGACCCTGGACCCCTCCCACACTCCATCCTGACACCTCATCGCCCGAAAAACCAAGAGACGAGGAGCGGGAACGCGCGAGGAAGAGGGTTCTCAGCTTCCGGCGGCGTCCAACGGAAGGGCGTCCAGGTGGGGGAGGGTCGCAACTCATGGCCCGAGGCATGTGCACGAGGGGAGGACCAAGTGACGCATCGAAAGGAGAGAGAGAACCTTGAAATCCGGGGAGATATCATGGCCCCGGCCCATGATCCCCCCCAAGATCATCACCGCACGAGGGAGGGAAGAAGACTAGGCGGCGAGCCATGGGGGGGGAAGTGAGAAGGAGCGTGCCTTCCCAGAAGGCTCGGAAGTCCCCCAGACTTCTGAGAAGTTTTCTAAGCCTTCCCCGAAAACAGAAAAAGCTTCTCAGAAGGCGCGAGGGCTTCTGAGAAGTCCCCCCGCCTTCTGAGAAGGCCTCCTCCTTCTCAATTCCCCCCTCGCTCGCCGTCGAAAGACAGGAGCCACGACATCCAGGGAGATATCGTGACCCCGACCATCACATCCTCCCCCCCAGGTCATCATCCCCCTCTTCGACGCCTGGTGGTTTTCGGGTCATACTTCCAGCTAGCCCCAATACACCCCTGGCCATGACATCAAAACCTCCCTGGGCGTCCCCCCCCCCTCCAGGCCGCGGGGCCCCGCCGGGCCTTGCCCCGCGTGTGCGAACCCGAGGGGGCGGCAGCGGCGGCCTCCTTGCCGCTCGCCTTCTTAGCCGTGGCCGGGGCGAACACGACCTCGCGGGAGGGAGTGCAGCAGCAGGAGGGGAAGAGGAGGAGGCGCCGTTGGCCAGAGGCCTCCCGAATGAGGTCAGAGCAGATGGGGTCGGAGGATCGCGTCGCATCGCCGATGCAGCGCCGGTGCATCGGCGATGCGTTGGAGCCGTCGGCGCGGAGAAAATTGGGCTCCACCTCGAGCCAGGAAGAATCAAAAAGCCAAAACAATATTTACAAATGGTCAAAGGCAGTCGAAAAATCGTCCCCAGACCATGTTTTGACTGTTTTTGAACACTGCCCCTGCAGAGGGACACACGTGCCCGACTTCAGCCTGGTCGCATCGCGCGATCCAGCTGCACGCCTGACGTGCGAGACGTCTTTGGCCACGGTGGCCCGAGCTGCCAAGAATCGGCGGTGGACAAACCTCCCTTTAGTAAACTACCCTTTATAATGAAGACGACCCAGGACCGAAACCGACGGACCCGGACCCGCGAAAATAACGGCCGCGCGACCCTCTGGCGAACCGAAAACGGCCGGTTCGCTAATCGACGTGTCAGGGTAGGAGGCCTACCAACCTCCGACAGAAGGGTCTTCCGGCCGCTGGAGGGGGGGGGCAGGCCTCCTCTACGAGATCTCCTCGCTCCCGTCGGTCCCCCTCCTTCTGCTGCTCCCGCTCCTGCTCCTCCTGCGGCTGCTCCCTCCTGCGGCTGCTGCTCCTGCTCCTGCTGCTCCTCCTCCTCCTCCTACTCCTCCTCCTTTTTCTCGTCCTCCTCCTCCTCCTCCTCCTCCTCCTCCTTCTCCTCTCTCCCCCGGTTCCTCCTGGCTCTTCCTTCGCCCCGTAGCCCCGGCACAGGCGCCTCGCTTTCGGGCGGGTGGCCAGGCGGGTGGGGGCGGACGTTCAGCGCGTGCACCAGATTGGAGGAGGCGTACGCCCATCGAAGAGGGGATGCGTTCGGCACCCGGGTGGAAATCCAATGATCACCTGGGGCTGGCGACTATGCGCACATACGTACCACCAACCCACCAAAATCAGGGCTCGAGCTAAACCGTGTTTTCCATGTTCGCTTCATGTTTCGTTTCCCTTCGGTGTGTCGTCAACCCGCCTCTGCTGCAAGACGAGATCAAAACGAAAACGGCACACGAGATCGCCACTGTCTAGCTCGAGCCCTGCCCCAAATTCCTCAAGCACAATCTGCACAAACTTGGCGGCGCGCACAAGGGGGTGGGGGAGGGGGGGGGGCTTCTTAGAAGGAGGCTGCTTCTTAGAAGGCGCCGGCCGTACATCTACAGAGAAGGCCCGCGCCTTCTAAGAAGCAGGGGTGCTTCTAAGAAGCCCCCCCCCCTCCCCCCACCCCCCTCTGCGCGTGGCCAACAGACATGCACTCTCCGAGATCCGCGCGGGCTGCTTGGATCGGCGCTGGACCCCGCAACCCTGGCGCGAGGAGCGCGCACGGGGGCGGCGCCGGAGGCGCGACCAGAGGGGGCTCCAGCGACCCAAGAAATCTGCGCGGACCTCGCAAAGTTCATGCGAAATGCAACCTTAACAAACATCTCTGCGAACGATTCGCGATGGCGCCTGCTACCAAGGATGCCGCCCCCGCTTTCCCCTCGAGAACGGCCGCTATCGCGAGAAAATGACGACACATGTCTGGTCTTCTCTTCCCCGCATCGTCGACACTGGGGCCTGGCCCTCACCCCCTCCCCCGTTTGAGCAGGGACCGACCGTCCCGGCATTCCTGTAGTCCTACCACGAAATGTTCTTAGAATCCACCAATTTTCTAAGAACAAAAGCAGTGTGCTTAGAACATCAACCCGATGTGTTAACACAAGACAGACTCCGCCAGGAATGCTCCGAGAACATCCCGTGGAAACCACACCAGAGGTTCTCAGAACATCGTTTGGTAGGGCTACAGGCGAGCCAGGACGCCTCGCCACTGCCTGCGTGGGAGGTGCTCTCGCGGCGGCCCCGGCCACCCGCAGGGCGAGCGGGCCGCGCGGCGATGGCGCGGTGCCGAGGCAACGAGAGGGCACGCTCGGGGTCGGCGGTGCGCCCCCCGTGGCAGATCTGCACGCTCCCGGGCGGGATGGGCTATTAACAGGCCCCCACCGCTGGGTCGGGGCTGTCCCCCCTACAGGGGGACTTTCGACGAAGCATAAAACATACGCAAAACATGCTCCCAGATGGTCAAAACATGCTCAAACAGAAAGCCCCCCTCAAAAAATAGCTCCCGGGCGGGGTGGGTTATTATGAGGCCCCTACTGGTGATGAATGGGCGGTTGGGGGTCGAGGCATCCCCCCCTGAGCCTGTCCCCCCCTTTGAGCAGGGACCGACCGTCCCGGCATTCCTATAGTCCTACCACCAAATGTTCTTAGAACCCAAAAAAGTTCGAAAAACAAAAACAGTGTTCTCAGATCATAAACCCGATGTGTTAAAACACGACAGTCTCAACAACAAATGTTCTGAGAACATTTCGTGGAAACCACAAAAAGCTCTTAGAACATTGTTTGGTAGGGCTGTAGGCGAGCCAAGACGCTTCGCCACTGCTTGATGAATGGGCGGTCGGGGGTCGATGCATCCCCCCCTGAGCCTGTCCCCCCCTAGCGTTGCGATTGAAGGGACCGTGCCACCCTTTGCTTCTGGGGCCATGACTCGGGTCTCTGGCGACGGTTCGGGGCGATCTCTGCACACCCGGAACGCTGTCGACGAGGCGCAGCTGCTGGAATGCACTCCGAGGCGGGAAAACCTCGGAAAGTCAGCGAAACCTTTCTGCCCTCCCCCCGAGCGTTGCCCCTGAAAAAGCAGCGCGCCGGCGCTCGCCTCTCGGCTCTGCGAGCGGCCGCTGCCATTCGCCTCCGCGCCCGCGGCGCCGGCGGAAGCGTCGCGGGACCTCTCGGCAGCCGCGCGGGACCGCGCCGGGGCCGCCGGGCCGCGCCGAAGGAGAGCAGTTGCCGAGGAGCGGAAGGAGGAGGGGAATGGTGTCATGGTGCAATCAATCGGCTCAGGATGCGCCCGAATGATTCTGAAGTGTCTAGCGGACCTCGCTTCTGGAGCCCGCGCAGATCAATAGGACATCTTGGGAATCCCCGAACACGTCACGGATCAGGACTGGTCTGGCGAGGGGCCCTACTCTCAGCAACTGCACGTAACGTTGGTGATGGACCTCTCTATGGACGGCCCGTGCGAGGGATGTGCCAACATTCGTGGCGGAACACATGCCACTTTCCAACTCGGGCCTTCTGGGGAATTCCAATTGGGGGCGCGAAACGTGGAAGAGGTACGCCGAAACGCGCGGGTAAATCATGCAACCTTTCCCACTTGGGTCGTAGGCGGGGCTCGTGTGATGGGTGTACCGAAATGGGCGGAAACACGCGTGCAAGCTTTCCAACCGAGGCCGTGGGTGGAGCTAACTGAAGGAACGCGGTCCTCGTGAGAGGTGTGCTAAAATGGGCAGCTACACCATGCAGGCCCTCCCTCTGGGGACGTAGGCCCAGCTCCCTCTGGGGCTACGGTCCTCGTGAGGGGTGTGCTGCATTGGGCGGCGGCGCCATGCGGACCCTGCCACTGAGGCCGCAAGTGGAGCTCCCAGTGGTGCCATGAGACGTGTGGGGGCGCGCCGAAACGGACGGCGCCTCCATGCGGACCCTCCCACTGACGCCGTAGGTGGAGCTGGCACGTGTGAATGATGATCCGAAACGACGCATGCGACGGATGTGCCAGAATGGCGCGGCGCCGCCATTCGTCGGCGCCCCCAATGAGACCCCGCCCCCTACAAGGCCACGACGTGAGTGTGTGGGGTGTGCCGAGATGGGCGCGGGGACGCCATGCGCTCGGGCCCATGGGGCCACAAACCGTGTGAGGGGTGTGCCGAAATGGGTTGGGAAACGACATGGGCACCGCCCCAGTGGGGCCTCTGCGGAGCTCGCTATCGGGCCACGACATGGATGAGGGGTGTGTCGAAACGGGCACGGACGCCATGCGGAACCACCACGAGGGGCTTCGGTGAGGCCAGCCATGGGGCCAGGAAACGTGTGAGGAAACGTGAGGAGTGTTCCAAAATTGGCTTAGGGACGCCATGCGGCACCACACCCTGGGGGCTTCGGTGGAACTCCTCATGGGACCAGGCGACGTTTCAATGTTTGCCGACACGGGCTGGGGGAAGCTAGGAGGCACCGCACCCTGAGGCGTGCGGTGGAGATCCTCACGGGGCCACGAAGCGTTTTTTTTTCTTCAGCGCAACATCAGCAAGAACTCTCAGTCACATGCCAGCCCACGCGCCCCCCCGAAAAGCGCTGACTGAGCGCAGGGTCCGCTAATCAGCGCAACGTCCGTAATAGATGACGAACCAACAACACACACCCATACCCATAGGGGGATCGGAGAGGGCTATGGGTGCGTGTTGTCGGATGGGGGTCCCCGCTCGAACGGGAGCGTTCCCCAGGGTCCGACAACCCGCACCCATACCCATAGCCAGTCCTCCTCCCAACGACCTCCCTATGGGTATGGGTGTGTGTTGTTCGTTCGTCAATAGAGTCGACGCGTAGTGCAGTGCCAGCATGCGGCCTGAGGCTCTTCGACCCCAGGCCGTGGCTTCTCACAGGCAGGACACAAGAGGGCGCGGCGCGGCCACTGACGGTTTGTGAAACCCGGGCCGCCCGCGACTGCTACAAATGACGAGTCCTTCCCGACCGTGCGAGCCTCATCATTCCAAATCCCGTATTACTCGTCTCCCGGGTCCGGTTTTTTTTAAGGAGCATTTTGTGTAATTGGGGGGAACCGGTTTGTTAGGGCGCTGTTTTTGGATTGGAGCTTAGGGGGTCCGGTTTATTCAGGCACCCCGTCGAAGAGGGGGGTCCGGAATATTAGGTCGAATTTGGAAAGGATTTCGGTTTTTAAGGGGGGTCGATTAATAAAGGATTTGGAGTAAATCGTCCTTTTCCTCGCCCCCCCCCCTCCCTCTCGCACTCGATCCTCCGGCCGGTCGGCCAGCCCCGGCCGGCGTTCCGTAAGATTGCCACGCGGACTTCTTACGGGGACAGGGAGAAGTAACGAATCCCGCTTTCGTCATAATCGTCGTCGTCGTCAATCCTCGTCGTTAACCCGTTCGTCAATCGTCGTAGTAATTATCCTGCTCGTCGAAGGTTGGTCGCCCGTTGTCTTCGTCATCGTCCATTCCCATACGCATCAGGAGCGCCCCGGATCGGCGGCACTGGCCGGAGGCCACTACAACAACGAATCCCGCTTTCAATCAAGCCCCGGCTCGATGGTGAAACGATGCTGCTGCGCCTCTGCGACTCAGAGCCGAAGGCAGCCATCACCGTCCGATGCCACAGGCGAGTGAGGCCAGCAAGCGGTGTGCATGACGCAGCTTGGAGCCCGAGCCGCAAACCGCCTCAAGGAAGACTGTGTCCTTGATCTAATGCAAATTTCTCCAGGCAAGACCAGGAGAGCAGGGATCAAGCGTGCCTGTGCGGTTCGCAACTGGGTCGCCGATCGCACAGCCGCGCAGCCAGGCGCAAAGCCCGTGATCGACACCCCGGAGGGCTGGGTCAAGCTTCTTGATGCAAGCAACATGGAGGAATCAGTGGACAAACTCGCCGCTCGGGCCAGTGGAAAATGCGAATTCCCTCTGGGAGGCGATGGGAAATCCGCACATGCTCATTCGACCGATACGAACTCCATGGACTCATCAATCGCTTTGGCGCGATTGACTGTTGCTAGGACGATCGAAACAACAACACCACCACACCCGCTCGGGTTGGCAGTCGGCGCCACTTGGGGGCCACGGGCGCAAAAATCCCACCAGCCCTGTGGGCGTAGGTGGTTTAGGGCGGCTTCTTCCAACCACCTTTCTTCCCCTTCGCGGAGGGGTTTATCACTGTTCCCTATTAGTATACACCCCCTCCCCCAGGCGACTGGGAGCCAACCAGGGTCAATGCGGCCCCCCCCACCATCCCTTGCAAAGAAACAATACAACACACAGTCTGCCTTCAAATTCGGAGCATGCGCAGCGAACCCGATGCGGCCTCCCCCCCATCCCTGTCTAAAAACAATACAGAGTACACTTGGCGGCGGCGGCGGCGGCTGCGGCGGGGGCATCGGCTGCGGCGGCAGCGGCGGTGGCGGCGGCGGTGGCGGCGGCGGCGGCGGGGGCGGCGGCGGCGGCGGCGGTGGCGGCAGCGGTGGCGGCAACAGATGCGGCGGCAGCAGCTGCGGCGGCGGCGATTCGGCAGCGGGGGCGACGGCGGCGGCGGCGGCGGCGCGGCGGCGCGGCGGCGGCGGCAGCGGACGGCGGCGGCGGGCGGCACGGCGGCGGCGGACAACGGCGGCAGCAGCGGCGGCGCGGCGGCGGCGGCGGCGGGCGGCGGCGGCGGCGGAGGCGGCGGCGGCGGCGGATTGGCCCCCAGTAGCTGCCCATCCCAAGACGGCTGCTGAATATGCTGCGGGGGCCGGGCTCGGGTGCTACGTATGTGTTGGGAGGGCGGGTGGGAGTGAGCGAGGCGGCCTTGCGGGCGGGGAGGGAATCTTGACCCCTCCCCCGACCCCCTCCCCTGGACCTGGACGGGGCGACCCGCGAGCGGTCAGGGCGTCCAAAACGGCCCCGGCGAGGAAGCCACAATCATTTGCTTTATTATGGTTTTGGCCGCATTTTGGCCTCTTGGGGCGGCGACGCTAATTAAGGGAACCCCCTTCTTTGATCGATGTCCTCCAAGATGGCCCCAAGAAGCGCCAAGGAGGCCCCAAAAGGCTTCAAGATGGCCCCAAGATGGCTTCAAGAGGCCCCCAACAGGACCCCAAGCGGTTCCAAGAGACCCCCCCAAGGCACCCAAGACGCACAAGAGTTCCCCAGGGTCGCCAAGAGACCCCCAAAACGTCCCAAGAGGCCTCCAAGAAACGCCCAAGAGGTATCCCAACAGGCTCCGGAGAGGCATCCATGAGACCTTTGGCACATTTGTTTGCCCTCCTCCTCCTCCTCCTCCTCCTCCTCCTCCTCCTGCGCTTTCCTCCTCCTATTCCTTCTCTTCCTCCTCCTCCTCCTCCTCCTCCTCGTCCTCCTCCTCCTCCTCCTCCTCCTCCTCCTCCTCCTCCTCCTCCTCCTCATCATCATCATCATCATCATCATCATCATCATCATCATCATCATCATTGTCATCATCATCAGCAGCAGCATCATCCATCCAGCCTCCTCCTTCTCCTCCTCCCTCCTTCGCACGGTTCGGCCGTCCCCGTCTTTGCTCCAGCACTTCCCTGATCGCCTCAACTCGCCTGGACATCGTTTCTGGATGGGCTGATGGGGATTTTTTGGATCGCGAGTGCATCGGAAGTGCCGAACGCCGTCAGAGGCTGATGGGGACTTTTTTTGTTGATCGCGACCGCGGCGAAGAAGGGTCGGGCGGCGTCCAAAGAATTGCAAACTAGCAACGGCCAAAATTAGCGCAAGGAAGAGAAAGCGAAAAGAAAAGAACAGGAACGAGCAGGAGAGAGAGACAAACAGGAAGCGAACCATTACCAATGGGGATACTTTTTGTGTCAACAAGCTCGCGAGGTGGGTCGAAAACCGTCCGAACACTAGTCGGGCCGCGACTCGGCAACAGGAAAAGGAAGGCAAGCGAAGCGAGCGAGCGGGCAGCCACTCAGAAGGAGAGCCAGAACCGATACTCCCTGACCCGGTGGCGTGGAAATCCCGTTGGCGACCAGCAAGTAAGCGCAGCCAAAACCGATGGGGATACGCGAAGCGTCTGGAATTGGGCATTCGCCTCCGGCGGGGTAAACTAGCTGTCAGGCTACGACCTCCTCTTGAGACAGCTCCTGGGGACCTCGGCCTGCGGCGGCGGCTCCGGGGGCTTGTCGCCCCTGCTCTCGTCGTCGTTCGGATGCCGCCCGTCCCCCTCCTCCGCGAGCCCCACTGCGGGCGTGTTTCCCCCCTCGGGGTCATCCGCCGGCGCCTCTCCTCCCTCCGCGTCGTCCGACATTTTTTCCTCGGCGTCCTTGGCGTGATCCTCCTCCTCCTCCTCCTCCTCCTCCTCTTCAGAGAACAACTCGTGATACTTCGCCCGCACGTAGAACCTCACCAGGTACACGAAGGCTGCGAGAAGGAAGCTCGCGGACAGGAAGAGAAGCACTGCCTGCATCTCCTTCGTGGAACTCCACGTGTCAGTCGCGAGGACGGAAGCACATATCATGCTGCAGCAAGTGCAGAGGAGAGATAATCCTTCTGCGTCGTTGAGCTCCTGGTACTTGTACGGTCGGAGTCGCATGTGTGCACCAAGGAACACGGTCATCGTGAAGAGTGCCATGGCTAATTTGGAAGTTGGGCTGTATGTGGTTGGAGCCAGTGTCGCGGTGACAGCAAGCACAGTAGTCTTGGTGAGACGGAAAGCCTCCCAATACTGCCGCCCCTCAGTGTACGACCCTGTGATGAACTTCATTGCGTGGTCGTGCGCCGAATAGTGAATCAGGTAGATCCAAAGGAGCGGCCCTGCCACAATGGCACCAGCAGCCAGAGGCACCGTGATCATCGAATACCTCGCCCTACCGCTGCAATTTACCAGTGACTCGTGCGAAAGCCAGCTCTCAGTAGGCGCAGCGGGATCGAGCGGGTGCAACTGTGTGTGGTAGCACACGAGCGAGCGGGCGCACGCTGCTGTGATGAGTGGCACGAACTGGTTGGTCGCCACGATATAGCACACCAAGAGGCTGTCTGGCGTGTACCTGGCCCGGAACCTCTGGATGTACTGGGCCGTCATCGCCAGGAGCATCGCAATGGCTGGCTGGGCAAGCGCGAGGCCGACAACGCTCAGGAGCCCGATCTGCTGCTCGCCGCCGCTGACCAAGCAGTCGAGGCTGGACGCAAAAACCGTGGCGTCACCTCCCGAAGCGTGAATGCTTATGCTGAGAGCTCCTCTGACACCATCGGGAATCCTGCGGAACGCAGGCGTTGCGTCTATGGTTGACGCGACGAGAGCAGAGGCGGAGCTGAACGCTAGCAAGATCTTCAGCGCATCGTTCGAAAAAGATGCGGATGATCCCCTGCACGCGGCGTCAAACGCACTGCGGACGGAGGCCGCGTAGAGCATGATCGGCACCCCGAGCCACGCGAGCCACTGAAGAATCTGGTTCCCACACTGCTCACAGATGAAGGGATCAGCGTTACTGCGTCCAAAGCCTTTTGTGCAAGAAGCACATCCTGGTGTTGTCGAATCGTACCCTTTCTGGCATTGTGACTCCCCACTGTCTCCACTGTATGATAGCACGCAGTTGTTCGCAGTCTTGCTGCGGTCCACGTTGAGCTGGACAAGAGTATGAGAACAAGCTATGCTGTTAGGGCAGCGATGGGCTGACGTGCTGGTCTTCAGAGATTGTATCATAGCTCCTTCTGGCACGTTGACATGCCAGTCGCTAACATATATATCCATCCCGACTTGCTTGCTCAGATCCATCGTGCAGGATTTCTCCACCAGGGCCTTATCTTTTAATCCTTGGGCAACCTTAATGTCTTTTCTCGCCTGGCGAGTGTCCTTGATCGCTTGATTGCTTCTCTTGTCAGCGAGTCGCTTTGCTTGCTTTGCATGGGAAGCTTGACGCTGTGAATTAAGTTCTTCGTTGCGTGCAATTGCCTCTCTGACGATCGCATCTTGTTTCCGTCGTTCCGCTTCCGCATATTTATCTTCCAACGTGGACATACACAGCTTGACTTGATGAGTAAATCCCCTTCTTACCTCTCCTTTCTCTGTCTCCATCTGCTCGAGCTGATCCAGGAGCTGCCTACACTCCACAGGCTCCTCCGACTGCACCTGGTCCTCACCCTCAGGCTCATTCTCGAGCGGCCCCCACCTCTTGGTGCCAGCACCCTCCTCGCCGCCGGCCCTTGGCATGCTCCCGCCGAGGGCACCCGCTCTGGCCTGGAGGTCGGCCCGCTCTTCTGCCTCGCGCTCGGTCTCGACGAAGCGATCACGGTAGGCCACCTGCCTGTCCGGCTCGGCCTGCTTCTCCTCCGAGCCCGCGATCGTCCCGTCCTGTTCGATGGTCCTCAGAACGTGTTTTAGCGCCAACGTGTGTTTGCCCACTGAGGCCATTTACTACGACGAAGGCGATGTGACGATCGACTGGTTGGGTTGAACTGGGTAGACACATCTTGGGCTAACACACATCCTGAGGATCATCGACCTGCGCGGCGCCATCGGACATCTGGCCCCGCGAGTCCACGGCGAGCACCTCCCTGCGCATTAGGGCGCTCCTGTGCGGGCAATAGTTATATCCACATCCAGTGCGTCTTGGAGCTTGGGGCCCTCTCCCCCAGAAACCGCAGGCGCAAGGGATACGGATGAAAGATCGGCCCCCCAAAGGCTCCATATTTTTATCCACGTCCAGTGCGCCTCGGCCTTGCGGCACCCCTTCCCGAAATGTGCAAGATGCTTTGGATATGGACATCAGTATTGCCCGCATCCTGCGCCCTCCCTGCGCGGCGCGCGCGCGCGCGGGCCGGCAGAGGAGCAGCGCCGCGGCCAGCAGGGTGAGCCGCCCGGGGAGCACCATAAGCACGGCGCGTGTCCCTGCGTCGGCGGTGTGATCAGCTCTCGCGCGAGCGCACGACGGCGAGCTTGAGCCAACGTGGCTACGGATCACGGGGCCACGAAATATGTCAGGGTGCGCCGACATGGGCCGGGGAACGCTACGCGGCACCACACCCTGGAGGAGTGGAACTCTCTATGGGGCTACGTACGAAACGCGTGAGGGGCGTGCCGATATTTGCTGGGGGGTGCTCTGCGGCACCTTGCCACCAAGGCCATGGGGGGCTTCGGTGGAGGTCCCTATGGGGCAACGGACCGTGAAAGGGGTGTGCCGAAATGGGGGCGGGTGGCACGTGCGGGGAGGCAGGAGAGGAGAAATAGCGAGACGGGGGGCAGCAGGAGGGAGTGGAGCGCGGCGCTACGGAGTCAAAAGGAAGACCCAACACCACAGGATCGTTGGGAGAAAACGCAATATTGGTGTCACGCAACGCAGGTCAGACGAGTACGTGTGTCTGCGTACCAGTGAAACTCACAAACATACAGGTTATGATCTACACTATACCTATGTAGAGATAGACACATGTGTCAATTACACGTGTGCAAGCAAGCAAGCAAGCAAAAACACACACTGGCAATCTCGCCAGAAGTCTGGGGGGAGGGCAGCTCGAGGGACGAGCCTCGCGGCTCCACGGTGTCACACTGGAATCGGCTAGGTGACCATCGACATTCTGGTCGCATCGTGCCCCAGGAGAGGTGCGGGGGCATATTTGTGAGGGGGGGTGGGAAAAGGAGAAAGAACAGGGAAGGAGGAAAAGGAAGCGCCATCAAGGAGAAAGAGGAGGATGCGGCGGAGGGAAACAGGAAGGTCGTGGAGCAAGAGGAGGAGGCCTCCTCCTCCCCCTCCTCATCCAGACCAGCGACTCGCCAAGTTACAACTTCCCTTCTGAATTTCAAGATCTACCCCAAGTAATTCGAGGTACACCGCCCCATGCACAACATCTGAATACATCTGGCGGAACTGTTCATCGTGATCCTCGTGCGTTGCCCTTACATGTAACACGAATGGTACAACAAACCTTGCGACCCGTACGCTTGTGTACTAGTGTGGTCCACCCCGTCACACAAAACCAGCTTCCGCCAAGGGCTCCCTTGGCATCAAAGACTCCAAGGGGGACGCCGGAAGTTCTTCGCATCGCCCTTCAACTAACAACCAACGAAGAAACAGCGTTGCTCGAGCACTGCAGCCGCATCTTATATGAAGAACTCGATGTTTCCCAAAAACGAGCCCAGGCTTTTCACACGGCTGTTCGATTTGGTACGTGACGAAGCTCTCTCAGCGGGAGCAGAGTCCTGTACCTGTTGTGCCAGCATGGATTTGAGGCACGGCTGGCCATACATGCGACCCAGACGCACAGTCAATCGTCTTGACTACGAGAGGCATGGCGGCAACATGTTTCCGCGTAACACAACATCTGGCCTGCTCCGCGCATGCCACACATCAGCTGGCACTGCGAGTGAAATCTGATTGCAATTCAGACAGATGCAGCCAGGATGAGGAGGAACGGGCGCGAGGAACAGAAAAGCAGAGGAGGCAGGACACAAATCCGCCGACCCCTTGGGGAGCATCGGCGTGTGAGATGCTCCCCCCTCCCCAAACCCCTCCCCCGGGAGCCCGGTCCGGTCGATTTGGAGGGGGGGGGGGCCCGACGAGCGACTCACGGGCTCTTCTGGGCCCAAGAAGGCCTAAAGATGGGCCAAGAAGGCCCCAAGAGGCCTCCAAGACGGCCCACGAGGGCCCCGAGACGCTAAACCAGCGCTCCAAGACGCCCATGATGACCCCAAGACGGGCCAAGAGGCCTCGAAAACGGCCCAAGAGGTCCCAAACAAGCCTCCCAAGAGGGCCCCGAGAGGCTAAAATTGTTAATTTTCCATTATGTTTTTCGGTGTTTGTTGTCTTTTCGCCAGTTTCGGCTTCCCGACGCTCCAAGACGGCCCAAGAGGCCCCGAAGACAGCCCCAAGACGGCCCAAGAGGCCTACAAGACGGCCCCAAAACGGCCCAAGATGGCCCCAAGACGGCCCAAGAGGTCCCCAAGACGGCCCAAGAGGGCCCCAAGACGGCACCAAGGGGGGCCCAAGAGGGCCACAAAAAAATCAAAACATCTAGCTTTCCGCCCTCAGGAGCCCCAGGGGGCCCCAAGAGTGCCCCCAGAGGCCGCCAGAGGCTTCCAAGAGGCCCCCAAGACGCCCCAAGGAACCCCCAAGAAGCCCCCCAGAGGCTCCGAAACGGACCCAAGACGGCCCAAGAGGTCCCCAAGAAAAACCGACGCACCCAAACAAAGCACCCCAAGGGGTCGGCGGTGTGGCGTAAGCCAGAGAATCAGAGGATTGGCTCGTGCTTGGAATTTGGAATTGGCACGCGACTGCCTGAGGAGAACGGGGTGCCGTATTCCACAACTTTAGCTATCGTTTCCGGTTTCACCCATTTGTGAAACACTTTCCTTAGTTTGATACTGTGGAGTACAAACGGCTTTCGGTCAACGTTCAGCGGCCTGTTGACCTTGACGCATTCTGGAAATGACATCGCGTTGGAAACCCTCAGGAACGAGATAATCCCTAAATTGACACATTTGGTGACGGGGGTGGTCATTAAGGACACTCACCAGCAAGTCGGAGTTCCGTGGTATGCACGCGTATGGCAGTTTAGCTGGGGCAATGATCTGGGGCAATGATTGCTGCGCCACTTCCTCACAGCAAACCAACTTACTCAACAACAGCGCCAAGCTGATAAACAATGTGTTTTTTTCTAAAGCAATGCCGTAATAGAACCCCTGCTGTGCTAGAGGACATTGCCAGAGCGCTTACCAACATCCGAGGACATGCATGTCGCACGAAGCAGGGAAACTCACATGCCCAACGTCGCTCACACGATCGGGACATCATCGCCACCGATCGCGTTGTGCACACCGACTTCTTGCACCCAGCGCAGCCGCTAGAGCAAATCGGCTGGTTTGGGTAACTCTACGAGAGCCAATGTGGACCATCTGAACGCCCAACAAGCTTCGAGGCAAAATACAAGCATGTGTTTCCCATGGTTTGCTGCAAGCCCCAACTTGCGGTCTGTAAAACTAGCGGTCTCCCCTGCGCCGATCACTCATACAGTCGGGGGCTTGACCTAAGGAACTCTAAATAAGGAACGAGGCCCCTTTTTTCCATTAATTAAACTTAAAACAGAAGGAAAACCTGAGGCAAGCTGCGAAACACGTAAGGAACGCGGAGCCCCTCCCCAAAGAAAAAGGTTCCTTCTTCAGGGCCCCGATCACTCGTACCCCTGATCCGTGGCACTGTCCATTCGAGGATCCGGCGCGGCCGAGGCGGTGCAGGCGGAGTCCACGTGCTGATGGACATGTTTACCCGCACGTGTTTCCAAACGAGACGCTGACCTCCAGGACGCAACCTAACGGCACTGCTGGCAGTCCTGCACACACACACACACACACTCTACGCACACGAGGCGTCCACCTCCAGAAGACATATCGCTAGCAGCGCCAGCTGTCCTGCTCGACACCTGACTTGGTCACGAGACTCTCCTGCTCTTCCGCGACCCCTGGGCGGGGTCCTGACCTCCAGGACACAGCCCAGCGGCAATTCTGTCGATTCTGCAAGTGCGGCCCTGTGGGCACCCAGGGCAGCCTTCAGCTGCTCCAATAAGCCCCCGCATGCGCAGGATCAGAAGGTTGGTCCGCGATGGACCAACCTCAAACCTGAACAAATCTCGACCACAAAATGCGATGCAGATCGTTTTCCGCAGAGACAACTCAAGAGTAGGATTGAGAGGAGGACGATGACAATGACCATGAGGAGGCGGAGATTTCAATACGGGGCGGGCAAGACAGGGATGAGGCTGTCAAACGTAGGCGATACGCAATCAGAACGGACAGTGCTCTGCTTGAGCGAAGTGAATCGTTTATACGCGCATGGGACATGGGTCTGCACATCGAGCCTGTTGGTGGCTGTCGACGAGGACATACCGCTGCATGTTCTCCCTGGTCTTTGGATATAGCGAGCCTCCGCGTATGAAACTGGATGTGTACGCCTGGGGTCTTCAACTAGTCGATGCCGTCACTCTCAACAGCATGCTCACAAAGATCAGAGACAACAATATGCTGACCTACGATGTGCCATTTTGAAGGATTAACGACGCCGCCCAACGAGATGGTGGCAATCTGGCCAGCCTGACGTGGGTTCGGAAAACGTGGGCACGATGTCCAGCAACAAACGTTGTCTAACACCGGCATCGGCCGCTGCTGGACAGGCGCGATGTTGTATCAATGGGCAACGTCCGCGGCGACACCCACACCGAGCCCGCCCCAACCTGAACAGAAACGGCTGTCGGTCTTCGTCCCCGTGCCTTCCGTACCCATTCAGATCGCACCCCGCCTTCGAGACTGCTGCGCTGGCCGGCCGGCGTGGACACACCGTGGGCTCCACGTCGAACCGCATCTCGCCGAGGGAGCGGCGCGGCGGCGCCACCCCTCGACCCCCAGCCGCCCTGCCCCCACGCGAGAGTGCGGGAGCCTGGATGCCGCCTTCTCGGGGTCGCGGTTCTTCTTCTTCTTCTTCCTCCTGCCCGGGGCCGCGGCGGTGGCCGCTGCGACCTGGAGGAGGGGGGGGGCGCTGCGGGGCGCAGCAGACCACCGGGGGGGCTCGGAAGCGGCGAGGGCGGGGAGCGGAGGGGTGGGGTCTGCAGGAGGGGCGCGGGGGCAAGGGGGGGGGGGGGAAGTAGCACGTCGGCTTCCCCGACGCTCCAAAACGGCCCAACATGCGCCCAACATGCGCCCAAGACCGCCCAAGAGGGCCCAACATGCGCCCAAGAGGGCCCAACAGGCGCCCACGATGGCCCAGGAGGGCCCAAACACGGCCCCAAGAGATGGCCCAGGTGGGGAACCCGAACGGACATTTCGAGCCCTCGGCACCGAGGGGGGCCCCAGGAAGCCCATCCAAGAGGCACCCAAGAGGCACCCAAGAGGCCCCCGAGAGGCCCCAAGAGGCCCCCGAGAGGCCCCCAAGAGGGTCCCAAGAGGCCAACTGCTCCCAAGAGGCCCCCGAGAGCGCCCCGAAGAGACCCGACGACACATCCGTAAAAACTGTGACCCGCAACCCATGCACGCTGGCGGGATGGGCCGAAGGCCATTCGATCCGCCGCCCCCTGTCTGTCGATTCATCGCAAGGGTGCCTGGCGTGCTAGACGATTTCGGTCTTGGTTTTGTTTTTTGTTTTTTGTCCAGAGTACTCCCTCTGGGGCTTCGGCCCGTCCCGCCGGCCACCCGGAAAGCAGCACAATTCCCCAATGTTTCGCTCAAGATGGCCCAAGATGGCCTCCAAGATGGCCACGTTGGCCCAAGATGGCCTCCAAGATGGTCCAAGATGGCCTCCAAGTCCGCCCAAGACGGTCCAAAGCGGCCTCCCATACGGCCCAAGAGAGTCCAAGACGGCCGAAGACGGCCCAAGAGGCCCCCCAGAGGCCTCCAAGACGGCCCAAGAGGCTTCCAAGAGGTCCTCCAGGAGGGCCCGAAGAGGCCAAAATCATTGATTTTCCATTGGGTTTATAAGGATTGTGGCATTCGCTTCTTCTCGGCTTTCCGACGACCCACGACGGCCCTCCGAGGCCCCCAAGATCGCCCCCACAGCGCCCAACAGGCCTCCAAGATGGCCTCAGGACTGCCCAAGAGACCCCCAAGACGGCTCCAAGAAGGCACAAGGACGACCCAAGAGGCCTCCAAGACGCCCAAGATGGCCTATAAGACGGCCCTGGAGCACCCCAAGAGGTCCCCAAGTCGGCCCAGAAAGGCCCCCAAAACGGCTTCCGACTGCGTCAGACGGGCCAGGAGCCCACCAAGATGGCCGAAGTTGGCTCGAAGCTGGCCCAAGACGGCCCAAGAGGCCTCCAAGAGGGCCTCCACGAAGGCCAAAAAAGGCAACAAAAACAAAGGTGTTCCATAGGTGTTCGAAGGATGTTGACAGTTGCTTCGTTTCGGCCTTCCGACGGCCCGATACGGCCCGAGAGCCCCCAAAGATCGCCCAAGAGGCCTCCAAGATCCAAGATGGCCCCAGAACGGCCCAAGAGGCCCCCAAGACGGCCCCAAGAGGCCCTCAAGACGGCCCCAGGAGGATTTTAAAACGCCCAAGATGGCATCCAAGACGGCCCTGGAGCATTCCAAGAGGGCCCCAAGTCGGCTCAGAGAGGCCCCCCAAACGGCTTCCGATGGCGTCGGACGGGCCAGGTGCCCACCAAGACGGCCGAAGATGGCACTAAGATGTCCCAAGACGGCCCAAGAGGCCCAAGACGGCCCCAAGAGGCCCCAAGATGGCCGAAGAGGCCTCCAAGACGCTCAAAATGGCATCCAAGACGGCCCAAGAGCCATCCAAGACGTCCTCCAAGAAGGCCCGAAAGGGTCAAAATGGCCTCCAGGCGGCCAAGATGACCTTCAAGATGCCCACGTGTTCCCCGAAGGCTTTCCAAACCGATTCGGGGAACATATGGTCCGATAGCTTGGCAGGTCTGGCCTCAACGTTCGGCCACATAGGCGCTTCGAAAAAGGCAGGGGGCGGCGGTGATTCGCCGTAGGCGTCTTCGATAGTCGACGTGGAACCGCCAAGCGGTTCCTATCGTGCTATGCGCATTAAGAACAGTGAAACTGTGTGCATTGGAGGACGGGAGGGGCTGGGAGGGGAAACGGAAGGGGGGGAACGAAGGAAGGGGGGGAGAGGGGGGCACGGACAGACGGACAGGAAGACAGGAGGGAATGCTGCTCCAGAGCCCGGGGCTCTTTCTTTTCGCAGGTTCGTCGTCCACCCTCCCCGACCCTCAAGACCCCCCCAATCTCCCCCACTGGGCTCCCCCTCAACATGCCTTCCAAGACGGCCTAACAGGACTCACACATGGACGACACGTCAGGCCCCAAGAGGAGCGCAAGAAGCTCCACGTTGAACCGTTGTGGTGTTTACTTATCTCCAGCTCGGGATTGCTCCAAGACGGGCCCGAGGAACTTCCAAATTTCCCCTCCGAGTCCCCAGCAGGGCTTCAGACGCATCCAAGCTGGGCCAAGATGATCCCCGAGCTGACCCAAAGGCAAGCTGGAACCGCATATTGCCGAGCTTCAAGCCACGTCGTCGATCTGGCCGCTCAGCCAAGACTCTCGGCACTCCTCAGCACTGGTGGGCCCCCCAGGAAGGCCACCCTTACCTCAAAAGACCACACCTTTTATCCAAGCGAAGGGCCCAACCATATGCGAGTGTGAGTGCCGCAATGCAGGCGGGACGACGGAAAGCAATCTTCCGATGGGGCCACGAAACGTATGAAAGGCGTACCAACATGAGCAGGAAACCGCAGGAGGACGCATCCATTGGGTCCTGAGGTGGAGCTCCGTAAGAAGCCACGAAGCGCGTGAGGGATGCTGGGACTGGCGGAGAGCCGCATGTGGACGCACCCGCCAGGGCCTTCGGCGGAACTCCGCATGGGGCCACGGAGCGTGTGACGGGTGTAGTACCCATCCACTGGGGCCCTGGGTGGAGCTCCATACTGGGCCACGAGACGTGTAAGAGGCGTGCCGAAACGAAGTGAACCGCTGTGGACGCACCCGTTGGGGCCTCAAGAGGGGAGCCCCGTGGGGCCACGAGCTGTGTGAAATGTGTGTGTGTGTCGAAATGGGCTAGGGAGTCAAATGTGGACGCACCCACCGGGGCCTCAGGTGGAGCTCCCTGTGGGGCCACGCAGCGCGTGATGGTGCGCCGAAATTGACTGGGGGGGCCCTGGGCACCACCACCCCTGGGGGCTTCGGCGGTGCTACATACGAGCGACGATAAAAAAAACGTGTCTCACGCGAGATAGCATAGCGACCTCACGCGGCGGCTTACGCAGGCCGCCTGCGCGGCACGCCACATCGGAGACGAGTGCGCTTACGCTCGAGCTTACGCGGGCAGCTTATGTGCCAACGACGGTGACGACGACCCTCCCTTTCTACATCGCCAATCTGGGACCAGGAAACGTGTGATGGGGTGTGCCAACATGGGCTGGGGGACACTATGTGCCCCTCCCCCCCTGGGGGCCTCGTTTGAGTCCCTTATGGCGCCGCGAAGCGTTTGAGGGGTGTACGGAAATGAGCTGGGTGACGCAACGTGCCCCCCCCCTGGGGACATCGGTCCACGAAACTTATGGTGGCTATACTGAAATGGGCTGGGAACGCTAATGATGCGGTCCCCCTCGGGCCTTGGGTGGAGCTCCCCGCTGGGCCACGGAATGCGTGAGGGGTGTGCCAACGTGGGCTGGGGGACGCTCTGTGCCCTCCCTAAGGGGCCTCGCCGGAAACTCTGATGGGGCCAGAAAGCGTGTAACGGAACGTGTGAGGAGAAGGGAGATGCGGAAAACAGTGGCAAGGGGAGAAGCAAGAAATGAGGGTAGCAGGACGAGGTGCTGCGTGAGGCTGCGGATTCAAACCGGGGATCCATCAACACTGGATGGGTGGGAGCAAACACAATCCGTTATCCCCCCCTCCTCAATCTTCCTGCTCCTCATTGTGACCGTCCTCCCTCGGCTGAACTTTCGGGCAGGGCCCCAGCCGGTCGTTCGAGAGGGCTCTGGCATATTTCGACCGCTCTCGAGCCCTCGACAAGGCGCAGGTAATCGAAGATACCCTGGCGCCCGCTGTGCTCCAGGTCTCGCAGGAACTTCCGAAGACCTCCTGCGACGGTCCGAGTCGCCTCCTTTACCATTCCCTCCTCCTCCTCCTCATCCTCCTCCTCCTCCTCCTCCTCCATCTCCTCCTCCAGCAGCTAAGAGCCCTTGGATGGGAGTCGGCCAGTGATCTCGCGCGTTTCCCACAGGCAGCAGACAGGGCCCCCCAGGTCCTATGTCTCTTTGGGGCGGGTTCGTCCCGAAGTTTTCGGCTGCAAGGGCCGATCCTGGTGCTCTGCCAGGCAGCAAGCTCAAACACGCACCATCGGGTTCGTTCGTGCGTTCCCCCTCCTCCTCGTCCTCCCCCTCCTCCTCCTCCCCCCCCCCCTCCTCCTCCTCATGCCCCTTCGTCCCGAAGTTTTCGGCTGCAAGGGCCGATCCTGGTGCTCTGCCAGGCAGCAAGCTCAAACACGCACCATCGGGTTCGTTCGTGCGTTCCCCCTCCTCCTCGTCCTCCCCCTCCTCCTCCTCCCCCCCCCCCTCCTCCTCCTCATGCCCCCCCTCCTCCCACTCTTTGCCCTCCTCCTCCCCTCCTACCCGCTCCTCCTCACTCCTCCCCCTCCCCTCCTCCTCCTTCTCCTCCTCCTCCTCCTCCTCCTTCCTCGCTCCTCCTCCTCCTACGCCGCCTCGCCTCCTCCTCTCCTCTCCCTCCTCCTCTCCTCCTCCTCCTCCTCCTCCTTCCCCTCCCCCCCCCTCCTCCTCCTCCTCCTCCTCCTCCTCCTCATCCCTCCTCCCCCTCCCCCCTCCCCCTCCCGTCCGTCCCCCCCCTCCTCCTCCTCCTCCTCCTCCTCCTCCTCCTCCTCCTCCTCCTCCTCCTCCTCCTCCTCCATCCTCCTCCTCCTCCTCCTCCTCCTCTTCCTCCCCTCCTCCTCCTGCCAACCTCCTCCCCCCCTCCTCCCTCCTCTCCTCTCCCCCTCCTCCCTCCTCCCCCTCCTCCCCACCTCCCATCTCCTCCTCCTCCTCCTCCTTCCTCCTCCTCCTCCTCCTCCTCCTCCTCCCTGAGGCTGCTGCTGCTGCTGCTCCTCCTCCTCCCCCTCCCCCCCCCTCCTCCTCCTCCTTCTCCTCCCCCTCCTCCTCCTCCTCCTCCTCGCCTCCTCTTTCTCCTCCTCGACTCAGCCTGAACGCGAACAAGGTTGTCCGCGCCACCTGCCACCCGCGGGGGGCCTGGCCTCCACCTGAGGAGACCAGACCCCCCGACCACGAAGACGAAGCAGTCCTCGCCGCCCGCTCAGGCGGGCATCGCGGAGCGGAGCGCCGCGAAGCACTCCACGTGCGGGGAGGGGGGGAAGGGGCAGGCGGCGGTCCCCCTGCACGGGGCGCCGCACTATCGCCGACCCTTCCGCTGCCTCCCCCCCCCCGCTCCGGCGCCGGGCGCGTCCACCGCCTCGGCGAGCCAGGCTCGGAGGCGCGGCAGCGGCCACGCGGCGAAGTGCGGCTGGAGGTCGGCCACACGAGCGCCAGGCGTGCGGATCCACGCTGAGATCAGCGCGGCCCGCACCTCAGGCCCGTCGTCGTCCTCCACGGCCACCGCGCCAGCGGTAGCAGCAGCAGCAGCCGCAGCGGGCGCCTCCTCCGCGGGCAGCACGGCGCCCCCCCCCTCGCCGCCGAGCGGTGCTCCGGGCGACTCACGAGTAGGGGGCGCCACGCCCAGCACCACAGCGGCGGCACCAGGGGCCGCGGCAGGCGCGCCTGCCAAGGGCGCAGGGCGGACGGCCCCGTCCGCCCAGCTGTCGTCCTCGAGGCAGTCGCCGTCGCCGCCCTCTGCACCGCCCGCCTCCTCGGCGGCGTTGGAGGTCACCATGGGCACGTCCTGCGCTCCGCGAGCTCGTCGACGCCGAGCACGACGGCGCTTCCGCCGTGGCCGATGGCCATCAGGCGGGGCGCCAGCCGCGGGAGCGCGAGGTGGCTCTGCAAGGCCTCCACCTCCACCGTGTCCTCCACCACCAGCGGCCGCGGGGCGGGCTGCTCGAAGCTCGGCTTCAAGCATCGCCGCCGCGGCAGGAACAAGGCCCTCGGCGGAACGCAGCACCTCCTCATGTATCCTCCTCCTCCTCTCCTCCTCCTCCTCCCCCCTCCTCCTCCTCCTCTCCTTCCTCCTCTAATCTCTTCCTCTCCGCCTCATCCTCCTCCGCCGCCTCCTCCTCCTCCCTCCTCCATCCTCCTCCCACTCCTCCTCCACCTCTCCTCCTCCCCCCCTACTCCTCACCCTCCTCCTCCACTCCTCCTCCTCCGCCTCCTCCTCATCATCCTAATACATCATCATCTCATCATACATCATCATCATCATTCCGTCAGCATAATCATCCTCCATCCTCAATCATCATCATCAAGCATAATTCATCATCATCATCCAGCATCCCATTAAATCATCATCATCAATCAGCATCATCATATCCTCTTCATCTCCTCCTCCTCCTAGTCCTCGTCCTCCTCTTCCTCCTCCTCTCACTCCTCCTCGTCCTCGTCCTCCTCCTCCTCCTCCTCCTCCTCCCCTCCTCCTCCTCCTCCTCCCCCTCCACAATTACTCAATATGAAAATACTCCCCCTCTTCCCCTGATGGCGTCCGGGCGATGGCACCGCACCCTCCGCGTACTGTTTGTTTACACACAGGATTCCAGGGAAATCCCGGGAAACGACTCTCGCTGATGCGCCGGCGTCATTTTTTGTCCAAAATGCTGCTCTCGTTGAGGCGCCGGCCTCATTTCTGCTCCCGAATCGTTCCGAATCGTGCTCCCGCTGCAGCGTGGGCCTCATTTTCGAATCGGTGTTTGGCCTCCGTCGTTCAGGATGGCGTTCTCGCCCCAGCGCGGGCCTTTTTCTCGCGCGCCCATCCGCCCACCACCACCGCGCCGCACCGCC